GTTTTAGGAAGAAAAGAAGAAAAATTAATCAAACTTTGACTAAAATATTTTTGTTCCAACAAGCAACGAAATTTTACAAAAAGTTCTTAAAAGTAAATTAAATTTTGATCATAAAATCGAATAATTGTTTAAAATTTTCTTTATTGAATAGAATTATATTTTATCTATCTTGGACAAGAAATGAAACTGTTTTTGGTTTAATTTATCCCCATCTGTCGCTAACTTCATATTCAAATGTTTTAGTAGGAATCATATCCTTGAAAAATTGAGCGGATTTCTTTGGAACTCGTTCCTTATCAGCAGAGTCGAAATCAATGTAATGTATGCCAAATCTCTCAGTGTATCCCATTTTCCATTCAAAGTTATCAGTCAAGCTCCATACCGTATAGGCTGTGACATGGCATTGATCATCTCTGACAGCTCTAATAACAGCTGCCAAATGAGCCTGCAAATATTCAACTCTGTCATCGTCGTCAAGTTGTCCATCATCTGACCATCCATTCTCAGTTATCATCACTTCGGGGTTGTCATAACGATCTTTAATCCATACCAGAAGATCTTGTAATCCTTGAGGTACTCTGAAAAGCCATGTAGATTTGGCTCGTTTCCATGAAGGATCTTGACCACCATCCAGATCTGTGTCAGCCCACCATGAGATACCATCTGGTTCTCCTTCCCGTTGCTTTGCTAATCCACTCGAATAATAATTAAGAGCTAAGAAATCTGCCGTTCCTCGAATGTAATCTTTAGTTTCTTGAGTCATTTCAGGCAATCTTGACCATCGTCGTCCTTCGTTCATCGATTTACTTCCAATTTGTTGCACCATTACATCAGGATATCCGCCATCCTTCGAGAAAATTGGGTTGGCGAATTTTCCAAGATCAAATTGAATCGCTTTCTCGGGAATGCTTGGATCGACAGTTTCATCGAATGGATAGGAAAAGCCTGCATTGAGACAAATTCCAACTCTACCTTGTTGATCGTTGTAGTATTTGTTTCTGTACAATTTATAAGCTGCAGCATTTGAAAGCAAAACATGATGTGCACACAAATAATCTCCTATGCCTGGTGTCGGAATAGCTGGTGCTTTTGTGTCAGATCCATAACCCTCACCTTCGGATATATCAATTAAAAATTTATTACTTTATTATCAAAGCACTTTATTTTACCACAAAAGACGGAAGGTTCGTTGAAGGTAATCCAATCTTTAACTTTGTCACCATAGTGTTCAAAAAGAACGTCAGCATAAACAGCAAAATAATCCACAATCAACGGATTAGTCCATCCACCAAGGTCTTGGATATATTGTGGCAAGTCCCAATGATATATTGTCACAAGTGGTTTAATCCCTCGTTCTATCAATCCGTCTATAATTTTATGATAATACTCAATACCTTTCATATTGACTTCTGCTCCATCGGGGATAATTCGAGACCACGAAATCGAAAAGCGATACACTTCAAACTAAATTTATGATGTTAGTACTTAATCACTATCACTTAAGTGCTTTAATATATGAACTTACTCCAACATCCTCAAGTGCTTGAAGATCTTTTTCGTACATGTGATAAGAATCCGCAGCAACGTTGCCACTGGAACAATCTTCAATGTAGCAAGGTGCAACTTGATTTTGTGTTATTGTGTCCCAAATACTTGGTGATTTTCCATCTTCATTCCAACCACCTTCAATCTGATAAGAAGCTGAAGCAGCTCCAATTTTAAATCCTTCTGGAAAAGTGTAAGTTTCTCCAGAAGTGAAGGAACTCTTAAGAAGAGCGATGCCAACGGCTAAAAGTATTTGAAGCTTCACCATTATTTCAGTAACTGAAAAATGTAGCTTTTGGATTAAAGACTTTTATACTAAATTCTTATCTGAAAGTGAAGCAATTGGTTGCAAAGTCTATCAAAACCTGTTATCATTATTTATTGAGTGGGTGGTTGTAAAATACGACGATAGGTTATCACCAAGTTTCTTGTATTAATTGATTATTAAATATCTTTCTGTATTAAAGTTTATAGTTACGTGAAAAAACTGGGAGGTCTTCAATTTAAATAATATCAATTTACACTAAAGAAAAATTTGAAAGCATTTTTAAATTAAAGCGAATTGCATGTGTTGATTAGATAAGATTTCCTCTGAATATCTCTACAAGCACAATTGATGAGGGAAAATTGAACAGAATAATGTTTCAACAAAGAAAACCCTTCACTTAAATCAATTGCTTGAATTTTTTAAACTCATCTCATTTCATTGCAAACGTCTGCTGCAGCAAAATCCTAAATAAATTCAAACGAAATTTCTTGGAAGTGAAAATATTTAAAAGTTCAAGATTTTGTTTTGACTTTCAACATGAAACTCTTATGAAAATGAGTGAAAAACATGAGATTTGATTGTCTTTAGCATCTGCAAATTTTCTGTATGCAAATATTGCATAATTTTGAAAAAGGTTTTCAATTTGAAATTCAATTTGTGTAAGCAGGAAAATGTTAAGGAATCATTTGAAATCAATTTATGTTTTCACGGGATAAATTTTAAATGCTAATAGACAAATTGTCTTCCAATACTTCAGCAGGTATCTCTACTGGAGTTCTCGATTTTCATTGAATTTTTGAAGTACTGCATGATCTGAGTTGCGAAGAATGAATGAATGATGTTTATTCGTCGAGGGCTCTTCAAAAGTTGTAGTCGAATGAACCTACCTCAAACTGGTAGAAAAAAATTCTTATAAAAGCTCATAACTCGACCTTCCCCATATCATAAAAAAATGATTTATGCAATTGCTTTTTATGAGCATTTCGTTTTCATACAGGTGGAAAACATATTTAATAACAATCTTAGAGAGTCTTCCATGGTGCTAAATTTGACGATATTAAATTTTTCGATGATCATAAATGGCTTATCAAGATGCGCCTTTGAATTTCTTTCTACCATGCAAGATAAAAATTAATATGTTGAAAATTAAAAATTCTTTTCAGGAATCTCACGAGCAATGTTTAGGCTTTCAGTTTGTTTGCTTTCCCAATTCAATTGAATAGAAAAATGTTTGTAAATAATAAATATGTAAGAAGCTTGTGCTAATAAGTTTACCCATAAGCATATTCATAAGTAGTTCAAAGTTTGCAATCCTCAGTAATTATGAAGCACTCTGCCACATGATTTTCCATTCACTTATCTACTTAAAAAATATTGCAAACTCAAATGAAAATAATTAAAATCCCTTTTGTTTTCTAACCTGTTAACATAAAGCTGTAAATGTAGTTTTTTGTAATTTGCTCATAAAGTTTTAATAGAAAATTCAATGGTCATCGTAAATCTTCGTATGTGACTTCTCATGCTGTTTCGTTAATAGTCTCGCGTACGTTTTATCGCCAAATGTTTATGCGTTTGATTTTTATTTCCTTTTCCCAAGAAATCGTTACAGAAATTGTAGTTTTCAATATTCATGGGCACGTTATGTTGATTCTGATTTTATTTTGTGTTTTTCGTGACCAAGATGATTTCAACAGTGTGCTGCACGTTGCTTGTTTACATTCTCGAATAAACAACACGCGGTGGCTTTTATAAGTATTAAATTGATTTGTAGACATTTTATTCAATCAAATAATGGTTCACGGATTATTTTGCTTGTTTATTTAATTTAAATTCTTTATTGTGTGAAACCGAAATTATATTAAATGAAACTGAAAATCTTTTACAATCTTGTTGACAGACTTCAATGGAAATATGACTTAAGGGATTTCTAAATAATCAAACACATATCTAGAAATCTTGCTCTAAAATATTCATTAGTGAAAGTCAACCTTGACAGCATTTAAAATCTTCTCCTTTCTTTCCACCCCACATATCTTATTCAAAGTTAGAAAAGTTTTCTTCTTTCCTTTTTTTCAACCCTCGCATCATTTGCTTACATGTCAAAGCTCCTATTTTATAACTCACAAGTCACAGCGACAATAAGTTTCAACGGTGCCATATACGCGTGGCAGCATGGCTGTCTAAAGAGTTTCAAACTTTTAAATGTCTCTGAACGAAGCAAGAGTAATGACGAAGACACGCTTTGACAAAATCTGCTCAAAAATGTATAAGATTAGCATAAAAAGTCACTTTACGAAAAATGTTCTACGATTCGCGTAAATTACTCATTTAAATGCAGTTCAAGTCGAAGTCTTATTAGTTATTGCCATTTAAGCATGAAGTTGAGCATTGTTTGAATATTTTATGATGTATAAATAGTTCTCATGTGTCGAGTTGAGTACGACAATGTAAAGCTTTTCAAAGTGCAAATTACTTCTTTCCTTTTTTATCATTTACAAAATGCACAAATGCTGAATCAAGAGTCAACTAAATGTTTTCAACCACAAAAAGAACGGCGAGGAAGGAAATGAACGACTCAACATTCATAATTATCATGAACATACATAAGCCGCTCTGTAAATCTGTTTCAAGCGAACTCTGATTTACGATGATGACAGAGAGAAAATGAAAAAAAGGGATGAAACAGAAATTAAAACTTTAGTTCAGAAGAGATAAATGTCGTTCTTCTTATATGAAGAACAAACGACGAGGATTTAATTTTCACTTTTCGCTTGTTTGTTGCATTTTTCATTCAGTGAATCTCTTCGTTTTGTCTTTTTGTTGACTAACGTATTGTTTGTGGTAAATTTTAATACACAAACGAAACAACAACAAATCTTCCTGCAATCAAAAATGTCATGTCCTTCTTTTTTATGCAAAAATGATTTTTTTTAAAAAGAATTGTTTTACTGCGCTACTTGGTTTGAATACAAAAAATAATTTTCTTTTAAACTTAAGAATTCAAAGTGACACAGATCGGAAGAGCGTCGTGTAGGGAAAGAGTGTNCTTTTTGTTGACTAACGTATTGTTTGTGGTAAATTTTAATACACAAACGAAACAACAACAAATCTTCCTGCAATCAAAAATGTCATGTCCTTTTTTTTTTAAAAAGAACTGTTTTACTGCGCTACTTGGTTTGAATACAAAAAATAATTTTCTTTTAAACTTAAGAATTCAAAGTGACACTAGAGAAATTAATTAACGTATTACTATGCTCAGCAAGTTCAGATATGGAGACACGACCACGTTGTTTAATAAATTTAGCTACGGCTTTAAGTTCTTCTTCAGAGATGAAAATGAATTTTCCACGATCATCAATGACTCCACTTAAACGATTTTCCTTTTGAAGGTCAACAATTCTATCTATTGCAGCTTGAGTTTTCATCTTGAATTGTGCTGCAAGATCTTCAAGAACAACTACTTTGTTAGTTTTAATAAAATCTATGAAGTTTTGAAGAAGCTGGTCTTGCTCTGTATCTTCTTCATCAAAACCCTCTTCTTGTACTTCAAAAGCTGCTTTCATTTTCAGATATTCTTCATGTTCTCGTCTTTCACGCTCTTCTTGTGCTTTACCTGAAAAAATAAAATAAAGATTGTTTATTATCAAAGAAGTATTGTTTTATACTTACGTTCTGCTTCTTCCCGCTTTTGTTCTTCAAGAGCTTCTTTTTCTTCCTGTTTTTTTCTTTCTTCTTCAACCAATGCTAAAGATAAAGAAAAAATGTGAATGACATAAATGTTTCAAAGCATATTTTATTACCATCTCTTTTCTTTTGTTCTTCACGAGCTTTTAATTCAGCTTCTCGTTGCGCACGTTTTTCAGCTTTTGCTTCCAATTTCGCTCGTTTTTTAGCTCCCATTTTTTCATCAATTTCTATTCCAGGAGTTTCATCGTCAGAATCAACTTGTTGACGATGAGCAGGTGCTTGTTGCACTTGAGGTTCTGCTGCTCTTACACGGTTACGTCTTTGATTTCTAACTAATTGAGGTCCTTCCGCTGCAGGCTGTTGTTCAGCTGGTTTCTGGTTTTCTGTCAAAGACATGTTTTAAATTTTAATGAAATTTTCAAAAGTTCATGCAAGATTTGCATACCATTTCCATTGCTCTTACTCTTTAAGTATAGCAATGATAGTAAAACCACCAGAAGAGAAATAAATATTGATAGTAGTAATATTAAATCCATTTTAATTCTTAATTTCTATTTTTTACGAAAATTGTGTGATGTCAACAAATAAGTTTTGTACCCCGCCTTAACCCCTCATTCAAAATTTACTGAACCGTTAATTTATTATTCGATTTATTTGTCAACTATTTGATGGCTATTGGTTTTATTTAACATCCAAATAAAATTACATCATTAAAGATTGCTTAGAGTTTTATAAATTCAAAGACACTTATCATTCGTGCGAAAGTTCTCTAGAAGAGCATGAAATCAAAATTAAGGCCACTTAATCTTATACATAAATCATTTATGGTACTACAGTGCGACATGTTGGACAAATCATATCATAGCGAAGCCAATGATCAACACATTTTTTGTGAAACTTATGAACACAGGGAAGTGTTCTAACACATTGGTATCTTTTCATAACTTCCAAACAGATGCAACATTTTTCTTCTTCGTTTCTTTCTGTTGAATTTGATGAAGCTCTCTTTGTATCAAAACCTGGTTCAGGGTAAAATTCTGATATGAAGTCATCGTCATGATTGTGACTAAGATCTCTTGTGCGATCTCTGTAGAAAAGTCCTATAGCGAGAGCACCTAAAGGAGAAAAAGGAAAAAGAACATTAATATGCTAATAACTTACATTTATCTTTTAAAACATCACCGATTGTAATTGCAACGCCAAGAGGGAAAAGTAATCCGATAATATTTTGAAGCGCCATTATCTTTAAAATTTCGCCTTAATCTCGATTATTTTTCGCCCACTGGTGCACAGCAAATTTTTTTAATAAACTACAATCACAATCAATATCTCATTTCATTTAATCACAGTCACAACTAAAATGAACTCGGTAGTTGTTACTTTATTCGAAAATTTCGTTCAGAGACTGTCAACTTCGATTTTTATTTAGTAAACAATGGCTTTTGCCAATTTCTATCACAACAAAACGAAATGAAAATGTAAGGGGCGAATCATTGGATGAAGTAACGACAAACTATGAATCTTATTAACCCCTTGAGATATCTTTGGGTTTGATTGTCACTGGTGAGAAAGTTTGGGGATCGTAACTGAGAACCCAGGCACATTCAGAAATTTTATAGATACAACTGTCCTCAAACTTTTCCACTGTAACTCCTTAGTTAAGGACTTTTTTAATAACGTCGTCTACAAAATTATCCACTTTCAGGTCATCAACAGTCGGGTCATCAACTTTCTATGATTTGCAGAAGAGATGGAAGACATCAACTGCTTTAATGTGTTCATATAAATTTATTCTTAACAAGAAAGCATAACGTACAAAATTTGGTGAATGAAATATCAAGTAGTAAAATATTGAAAACTTACGCAAATAATTCAATTAAAATTTGTTCTTTTTAACAAAAACCATGCTGACTTCATCGAAATTTAATATTCTTTAAAAACCAATTTCAATCAAAACCCTAGAGGTCTTCCAACTGAGGCAAAACAACATTTTCCCAATTTTCTTTCCATCGTAGCGATTGAAATTGTTGTAAATTTTTGGAAAATTCATCTTTCATAGCGTCCAATGCTATGTTACTTGGAAAACCATAAAACCAATCTGTAAGTTGTCTACCAAGCTCAGTAGCGTTGTTGAATACAAATCCATTTTGCCCATCAACAACTAATTCACTCAGGCTTAAAATACAATTGTTAGAAAATGTTAAGTCAAAAAGTTAATTTAATTAACTCACCACTTAAAATTCATAGCACAAGCAGGAAGACCACATCCGAACATGTCAACAACTTTCATTGGTAAATCGAGTCCACTTGAACTAAAATGCAAGCAAACACCGAGGTCGGCCGAAGCTATCATTAAAGGATAATCTTGACTCTTGAGCCACGGCGTTACAATCTTTACAAACTTCCATTCTTGGTCGGCGATTTTCTTCTCATACATTGACTTTAAAGGTCCTTTACCAGTGATAGCACAAATCAATTTCGGATACTTGTCGGCATCTTCTTTAGCTGTGTTGTCATAGTATATAAGAGCATCAAGAAGTATTTGAAAATCTTCATCTGCTGTCCAACTGGTACTTGACACCAAAAGTCCAGGTCTGCCTTCTCTCAATTTGAACTGATTGTGGATTGTCGATCCTCTCTGATTTAATACAGCACTTGTGAATGCAGTACTTGTTTTGGAATCGTCATGCGGCGCTTTAAATTCTGGATGCAATGTCGATAATTCTTGAAACAGCTGATGCTTTCGTTCCAATGAAATTTTCTGAAATTTCTCGGATGGACGATCATAAAGAACTGTGGCTTTGATATTATAATTGTCATAAAGATCTTGTTTCATTGCTTTTGTTACACAAAAATTTAAATCGCTTCTTCGACCGAAAAAACCTTCAATGAGTCTTGCAAGTTTCACTGTAAAGCTTTTAGTAGACGATTCAAGTGCCATTATCGACCAAGTGTAATTATGCCAATCAATAATAAACTTTGCCCTTCTTATTTTACAGTAGAGATAACAAAGTGCAAGGGATGGAATTCCTGGAGGATTTTGTAACATCACAACGTCAGCTTTTTTTATACTAAAAAATATCGAAAGCAAATGAATTGCTGACCAAAAGATCTTAAAGAAGTATTTTATGATTCGTGGTAGTGGAACATCTGGGAATGGCACCAGACTGTAAATGTTTATTCTTGGGTCTGATATAATCTCTTGGTCTGGTTCTGTTTCTGTGTAGCCACAAAGTGCTACAAGGTTTCCTCGTTCAACGAAACTTTTACAATGATTTTGCATTCGCGGACTTCGACCGATGTCACCTAAAACAACCACCAAAACTCTTTTAGTCTCAGGGATATTTTCCCTTGGACTGCGGCCTGTCATTGTTGAAAACTTTAAATTAATGTAAGATTATTTAAAGAACACAAGATAGAATTGTGCTAAAACTTACAGTAGCAAACCTCAATGTTACCTAACTCACTTAATTTTGTTTAAATTTGTGTAACAGTAATATTAATGACAGGATTTCTATTTTTTTAACTCATTTGATAATCTTAAATTCATGTTTAGGATTTAAAATGTTCTTTATTCAATTGAATCAACTTTAATATTGTTTCACTAACATAATATGATGAAATTTTACATGTAAACATTGTGAAGTTACAGTTATTTTCAAAAAAACTAAAATTGCTAAAAGTGGGTACGCAACTTTTACCGAAATATGTTGTGCTAAAAATTTCAAAACAAAACACTGAGAAATTTATTTAAATGAATTTTCTGACGAAATTGAAGAGTAAGTGCATGTAGACTCAACGTTTAATTAATCTTAACATATTTTTAATTTCAGGTGCAACATCATGCACTAAATTGATTTCGATTACGTTAAGAAATTTAAGTGTTTCATCAAAACCAACAACAACATTAAATTCCGATTATTCAATCCATTTAATTAACAATGTAAACATTGATAATACAAAATCTGCAAAACAGAATACAAATGTTATCAAAGATATTGGAATCAATGGCCCACTTTGGAGAAGAAAGGAAATTTTTGAAATTCCTTTAACCAATAAAATTATCGAAAATCCCACACAAGTAAACAAAGTAATCGAGGATGTTAATAAAATTGATAAGTCTATCGAGCTACCGATGCATGACAATAGAATTGTTGATGATAATGGAAAACAAGCTGCAAAACATGGAATGATTATGATTCGTAGAAGAAAAATGCGAAAGCACAAGAGAAGAAAGCTTAAGAAGAAGATGAAATTTCTTTGGTTGAAGGTACATAAAAAAACTAATTCCTTAATCTCTAATAAATATAAATTTTAATTTCTTTCTTAGGTAACACAAAGACGTGAATTAAGAAAGGAAAAAGCTTTCCGAGCAGAACTTCTCGACCAGATTCGTGAAGCTGAAAAATTCTCAGCAGAGGAATATGTTGCTGACAGAATTCGTCAGGCCACAGAGACTCCAATACCAAGATTCTGGAAGAGTAAGAGATATCCTAAAGACCTTATCAGGGGCTTCATGGAGGAGGAAGAAAGAAAAAAGGAAGAGAAGAAGTATAAGATGTGGGAAGAGTGTCGAAAGCAGCCATAAAACAAGAAAAATGTTAGTTTGACTGATTTTGGCGAAACTATAAATAAAAAATAGAATTTTAAAGTAAGAATTCCATTATTTTGTAAAATAGTTTTATTTCAGAAGGAAAGAAATTCTCAAATTTAAGATAAACTTCATTTGCCTTACTTTTCCACGAATGAAGTTCAATAGTTAAAAGAAATTGAAGCCAGCTGTGAGAAGTGAAAATTTATGCCACCTTTTTAATTATTATTTAAAGATTACAATTATAATCATGAGTTGAATGTTCAGTAACACAAATATCTAAATGTCTTAAAGTAGAATGAAACGAGGGACATTCTCGTAAGTGACGAATTATAAACTTCACAATTCAAAGGAGAATTTGGAGGTGTGTCAGCAGTTCAGCATTCATTTCTTCATTATTCTATGTAGACGTTGAACAATGCATTCATTTTTTGCATGGACTCTTTTTCTTCAACCCATTTTCTTTAATGTGTGGTGTGTGAATTTCTGACTTTGTTAAAATAAATAAAGAAATATGGAATGAAAAAGAATAAAAGTTTTAATTTCAGCAGCTAAATAACAGCATCTCAAATTGCAAAAGTAGTTTAATAGCATGAAAATATTGTGAAAGTGATGGTAGAAGTGAATTAATTGACCTAAATTTCTGTTGGATTGGAGTGATAAAAGAGAAGCAAATTGAAATCTTTTCAACTATAATTCGGGATGGAATGAAACTCTCCCCTCAATATATTGTTGAAGCCAATTTCAACCACATTCATTTTGACTCATTGGTTCTCACCAGTCAATCATGTTCGGATGAATCTTCAGAAGATTCAGAAATGTGTGAAATTCTATTTACGAATAAATCTTCTAATCTCTCTTTTTAATAAACTGGACTTTTCATGTATGAAAATGGATCTGAATACAAAACAGAAAACGAATCTTAAAAGCACCTTTCCGAGTTTTCCTTTCTACCTTTTTTAATGTATATTTTGCTTGCCTTGTCCTTTTGTTGATTTCAATTGAATGGTCATTCGAGGGCGAAGAAATCATTTTTCTTTCTTTATTTTTTGATACATCATTTCGAAGATTTTTTTATTCCATTAAATTGCATGAAGAAGTTAAAAAAATGTAATGGATGAGAAATTGATCTTATGACTAAGTATTTTGCATGTTTCCCTCACACAATTTTTTGAATGAGAGTTTTTATATTCAGAAACAACAAATGGAAAACTAATAGAAATTTATTCAAATTCAATCAACCAGCAAATGTTTGATTTTTCTTATCAATATCACGACAAATCAAAATTATCCTTAAATGTCGTTTATACGGAAATTCATTCATATTCAAATTTCGTTTCCACAATCAATGGTTCACCAGTGGGAAAATTAAAACGAAATAACATTTTAAACTTTCTCTTCCCCATGGGAGCTTATAAGGTTTCGCTTATCAAAAGATTTCCAGCTCCAAATCTCCGCCAAATATTTAAGAAAAGAAATTTCTTTTCTATTCATCGTTGACTGAATAGAGCAAAATATTCAATAAAGAGAAGAAATATTTGAATATTGCTGAGAAGGAATAAAAAAATGAACGGAAAATGTCTCCTGGGGATCACAATCGAAAAAAGCGAACGTTTCAGCCACCCTAGCTTAAAGAACTGTTAATCCGATATGTAAACAAATGTTGCAGAATAAAAAAATTCTATTCAAATTTTCGCGAGACTTTTTGTTAGGAAAGAAAAATGTTTTCCTTTGCGAATTCATGAGGACGCATTCACCAGCTTGGTAAATATAACATGAAGTTGTGCTTACTGTTGCTAGGATTTCTTGTTCCTCAACTAAAGTGACATTTCTTGTAAATACCTTCTCGTCCCAAGATTCTTTTTCTTAATATTTATTCAGTAAAACGAAATTTTTATTGATTGTATTTTGATTTCTTTTCTTGCCCACTTTTTTCATGCTGAAGAATTTTCATTGATGAAAGCAAAATATTTAGAAATTAAAATTTAATGAAACATTTCTTCTCCTTTTTGTGACTATTGTGCTTTGTGAATAAAAAGGAAATTATCATGACAATAACAACGATTGATATACGGTGATTTGATGCGGAAATAGTTAGGAAAATAATACATTTTAGTTTTCTTTAGAAATAGTGACATTAATGTTTTCATTATGCTTCCTTTACAATGTTAACTCCCTCGAAACTCTATCGTATGATGCTTCCGATAGATGAGCACAGATCAGTTTAAAACTGTGATTTTAATACGTCTCAAATATAAAATCTTTGAATGTGTTCATTAAATGCAATTCCACAACTCAAACTTCATTTCGATTTTATATTTCTCATGCATTTCTTTAAACTTTAAAGGATGCTTGAGATCATAAAATATCGTAATCAAGATGTTTATTCACTGCGAAAATAAATGTGAATATAGGGCACTTGAAATTTATACCTCTTTTGCATGTGTACGAGTATTAATATCGTTTTAAACTCGTTACCGATAAGCAAAATGAAGAAAGCATATGGAAATCGATATGAAACTGCATAAATATCACAATCTGAATTGCTCTTGAAAAATCAGATTCAAACATCTGAAAGGGTTTTGAATCAAGAATAGTTTTGTAATTTTTACCGTGCGAAATAAACTTTAGATTGTAATCGATTGCCGAGTCAAGTCATGTTTCAACAAAACAACATTTTTTATACAGTGCCAACTGTTCGACAATTCACCTCAAAAATGAATTTAAAATAGTTTCAAAAGGGTTGCGAAGAAAAAGAAAGAAAGAAATCTCGAGTAGTTCTTTCAATTGAATACCTCAGCGCAGCTCTTATCACAAGTTGCTTTCATTCAACTTTAGTCCAACCTAAGGTTTTGTGGCCATACAAAAACTGTGTGACTTCTGTCTTTTCAGTATCCTGCCAATCTAACATTCAATGACTTCATTAATATTTCACTTCTAAGCTCTGCATGACTCTTAAGATGCAATGGTTTTAGCATGAAGAATGAAACCATTTTCAAGCACACTTAATTCTTATTTTTATTTTTATTTTAATAAGTATGACTCAACTGAAATAATGTCATGACTCCGTCGGATTCTCACAATCGGCAGTGAAATAGAAAATTCAATTTGTTGAAGCATGCGAAAGATTTATTTCGTCATAGACATCTATTGACAAATTAACTGCTAATCACAATAATAAATAAATGATGTGCACAATGGATTGCACAATACAGTAAAAATAGAAAGAAGAATCATAACAAATGACAATCAGAAAGATTTTTATAAAAGGAAGAATAAATTTATTGCTTTCATAAATGCATTACTGACACTGGCTTATTGTATGACCAATTGTTTCCGAAAACCATCAACTAAAGTTATTTTTATTCTACTCGAATTCCCCGAAAAATTGTTTCTCTTTTTCTTTCCTTTTTACTGTGTCATTGGAACCCGCTGATGTAATTTAATGTTGCCGCATGATGCATTCAAAATAAATAAAAGCGAGAAAATTTTCACATTGCATCTGACAAACTCAAAATATTATCGAGGGTTACTCTAACAATGACATTTGTTTGCAAACAAATTATCAATCTTCAAAATGGATAAAGTAAAGGAAGTGATGATGTCTCTTAATGGGAAAGCATTTCAAAGTGTTTAATATCATATTTTGTGATGAAAATGCTTAAGTGGGTTGCAGCTTTTTAATAAATAAAGTTCAACTAAGTTTGTATTAAGATGTTGTGACCAGAAGTTTGAAATTGCCAACTTGTTTGAGTTATTTGCATTTTACATATTTATAACAATTTATATGATCTCAATAATGTTTTGCATTTGTTAAAAAGCTTTCAGTTTTTTGCGATCAAAAGAAGGTAAAAGAAAAACTTCAAAAGTAGGAAACAGAAAAAAAAAGATTAAAAAACGAACGGAAAATTCTTCATTTTTCTTTTTAAAAGGAAAATAAATAATTTCAACATACAGAAAGCGTTCAGACAGTTTACTAAGGGCTGAAGTTGAATAAAAGATATGAATACAATTTCACTTGACTGTTTCGCTATTCATTTCAATGATAATGGAGACAGAGAAAAATATGAAGTTATTGTAGTTGAATTGAATTTACGAAACATGAAATGAAAATGATGCCGGAATTCCCTCTTATTTTTAATTAATTTATTTTTCACTCTTCCAATGTCATTGCTCGTATTTTATTAGGTTTTCTGAGTGGCTCGTTCATTTACCAGTTCTTTTCTATATGACTTTAGCGTGGGGGGGACAGGGGCAGATCCAAGTCAAAATTGCCGCATTCATGCGATGAAAAGAAGAAAAAAAAACAATTTTTTTCAAGCATTTACAATTTGAATAATCAGCACAATTATACATAAATAGATAGAGAGACACATGAGAATGCAATGTGGGATGATGAATAATACCGGCATTTAATAAAGACATCAACTTTGAATACAAAAATCCATATGTGTCAGCACAGACACAATCGTTCGACGAGGTTTTCATAAAGACTTTTTATTATTACTATGATGAAAGGAAGAAAATGAAGAAAAAAATTGTGAAATAATCATAAAAATAAATTGTGTGAGAGTCGCTTGAATTCAATTCTTCCACTTTGGCATCATCATTTCGGGTGAATAGTGGAATTATCATAAATACACAACAAGCTCTGAAAAGCTTTCAACAATGTGATGATTTGATGAGAAAGAGAAAGAAAAGTGACGATGAACGAGAAATATTTTTCTTTATTTTTTCGCCATGACACAATGGTCAATGATATTATTAATCAATTGTCATGAATGTGGCTGTATTTGGAGCTGGTTGAAGGAATAAATAAATTAAGACTTACCGACCATGTTTACAAACATCACGAGCTGAATCAATTTCTATTCTTCATTAGTCAGTCAATGTTTTCATTCCTTTTTTTGTTATTTCTTCAGTTACCAAACATGTTTGATGATCGGCTCGTGATTGTTAAGAAACTGCAACAACAATAGTTTAATTGATGTTAAAAGAGTGACTTGCTGAATAAAGTTAAATTATGCATAAGTCTTGATGAACGCATGTCCTTTCATCATTTCATCAGGAAAAAAAGAAGATATTTATTAGATAATCTTTTAGGATGAAAAAAGGGTTCAAAGTAACATTGAAGATTGAATCAAAGTTTTTAAATAGAAGTGACAATCAACAACTCTTTTGAATTGCTATCAAATGTTCAAAGTTTGAACGAAGTTATCAAAGAAACATATTGTGGCATTAAAAAGATAGATTTATATGAATATTCTTGAAAATCATTTCCCACTTATTTCTTCCCCCACTTTCAATGACGAAATGCATGCTCAAAATAAAGGATGTGAATGACGTTGACAAAAAAAAAGTAAGAAAATATTTTCATCGAAAATTTCTATCATGGTTCAATGTTGTGATATGAATAAAGGAAATTACATTTGTTTCCTTCTTTTGTCAGATATTTTCCACTCAATTTCAACGATTCATTAATTATCGTCGATGAATATCAAGAATCGAATGGCACAAAGAAGAATGTTGTTTATGGAAATTAGAGAGAGATGAAAATTATAGGAATTCGAATTACAAATCAATCAACTTCATTCGATGGCTTTGAAAGGCATTCAAATAGGCTTTGATGATGTCAATCTAAGGTTACACACATCATTTGAAGCTTCATTATGAATATTGTAATGCGGAAAAGGATGAAGAACACTTGTGGTAATTCTCAGTTAATCAATCACATGAAGTTCTTTCGTTGAGTCTTTGTTATTGATAAATATCACGCAATTCGCATACGTCTTGTGAATAGATTTGTCATTAGATCATGGAATTGATATCGAGTCGTCTTATTTGACATTTCAAGTGAGGTTACACAAAATTTTTCCCAACTGTCTGATGAATTATTTTCAAGGATTTGTCAATAAACGTAAAAGTGGGAGAAAAATAAATTAAATTCGTTCAAATATTTGTCATAAATTAATCGCGAAAGAAATTGACAAATAATTGAGAAATTACTGAATCTCATTCACTGTTTACCTGGAAATCTCTTCAGAGGTGCGAGTTTTATTATAACAATCAACGAAAGGGAGTTTCAAGGATTAAACTCTCAAGTGAATTGGTGCTGTCATTATACGACTTCATTCTTATAACAATTACATCAACTGATAACATTCAAACTCGTGAATTGAAATTTACGGTTGAATATTTATGAGACAAGAATTCAAAGAAATTTAAAATTCCATTTAAGCTTCATTAGAATTTATAAAAGAATTCTAAACTCTCCAGCAATAGACCATGACATAATATTTAAACGATTCGTTAAACATCTAAAGTATTTATTTATCGTCCACAAATATTTAATTACTACTGAAAATCTGTTGAAGTTGAAGCAGATTTTACTTCGTATTTGTATTCGAATACTTGCTTTATTTACACTTTACAAGATTAAACAAAATGAAATGGAATTTAATCTTACACAAACTTGAATGCTATTTACACCATGAAGTAGTCATTTGGGGATTACGAACTGGTGAATGTAATAGGATTTGCAAGCAGAAATGTTTCCCTTAATTTAATGGTCATAACTCACAGACAAATTAAAATGTAAAAATGAAAATTAAGAGTTTTGTATCCTCGCTCCAGGCTGTCACAAAGTTCAATTGTTGACTGAAAATTATTGCATTCTTTTTCAAGACTAATAATGCCAATTTTGTCATTCCGAATGAAGCTAGACTTATAGGAACAACGAAGAGAAATGAAATCAAAATAAAACTTGAATCAATAAATCATGTGACAGTTTATTTTGCTCTTACTCTGTCTCCGAGTGAAACTCTTAATTTTACGAAGCAGAAAGAAAAAAAATATTTTTTTTGTCCATTTTACGAAATGATTTATTTGTAGAAAACATGGATCTTGTATTTGTTAACTGCGAGCGAGAGCACGATGCAATGGAAATATATTCCAATAACCATTGGTTAATAATGAATTTTTATTTATTTTCCACTTTTGTCAGTGGTTCATTCACTTCCATTGTGTCGATTGAATTATGTGAAAGATTATGTTAATAAATTTTCAATCTACCGATCGAATGAAGTTCAATTGAGAGAAATTTTTTATTTTATTGTGCGCTTACTTTGTGTGGCAATTTATTGAATTCAACTGAGCTCAACTAATGTGTTGGTAAAAAGACAAGTGGAAGTGGTCACTTGTACTTTTAGAAATGTTTATTATTATTAGTAAGACCATCAACTATTTTTATTAAGAAATTGCGGTCAATAAATCTTAGCAACATGAATTACTGTTTTTCAAGTTAGAAAGTTCTTTAAGCATAACTAAATATTTCAATTTCCTACAACATTAAATAACACTTTAGAATTAATTCAACCCTAAACATTTTTGATGACAATCATAATGAACGGGAGAGGAAAAATGATTTTTTATGAAATCATCGATCCGCAAAATCAAAAACATTCGGGAAATTTTATTAAGAACGTGTACAATTGGAAATACGAAGTTAATAAAGGATCGCTTTCTTCTTGTCGTTCAAAAGGACAGAAAGAAATAAAACTTTCTCATAAACGGAATTGGAAAGTTATTAATTTAATGTTTTGACAGATGTCCCTTTTCCAAAACATCCACTTTTCTATTCAAGTATTCAACTTCTTGCGATTGATTGATAAAGGAATAGAAAAGATTTTTTTATTAGATTGAAAATTGAAGAAAAAAGCGAAAAAAAAACAGTATAAAAGAATCTCCTTTTATTCTAATCCTTAATCGGATTTATGCTTGAAAGATTATTTGCAAAATGCGAACTAAACTGCCAATCACAAACAATTCTCAAGTACCTTCTTTGGTCATTGACTGCTTCATTCCAAATTAAAAGAGGGACTTGAAGGGAAGAAAATAGTGAATGTCATTGAAATCTTTTTTATAATTTCAAGATAAAGGGACAAGAACTATCTAAATATCTTGATGGATTAATGATGGCAGTGAAGACGTTCGTACTTCACCTTCGTTTTTCTACATCAAATTATTTATCATAAATTTAATTAACCATCCAAACATCTGCGATACTGATTGAGCAAATCATTATTTTAAATTAATTAACGTAACTTTAACGCTTGAAATATGTGATAGATGAGATGAGAAGAAATTATTTTCATCTTTAAATTACTCAACAGTTATTGGATGGATGCTGCGAGAGGGTTTTCGCTTATTTTTGGGCAGTTCTCACAAATTTTAAATTACAATAATGACTATAATCAAAGCCTTCGAGCTCAAATGGGGGAATCAATCAGCGAAGTGTAATCATGAGTACTCAAATCAGTTAAGAGGCGCGTTAAAACAGTTTATCACATGATGATGATGAGAAAGAAAAAAACATAAAAAAATTATGCTTGAATGACTTGCAAGAAAATTCATTACCGACGAAAGTTTTTCTTCTGGTCGATTGAAGAAGTAGAAGTCGAGAAAGAATTTCATTCTTCTTCGAAAATGGAAGAAGAGATTTTTTTATTCTTTTTCTTTCACTTCATTGTCGAACTGTCCATTCAAAAGTCCCAACAGCTACGAAAGAAACGGAAGTTCCTTTTTAAAGACGCTGAAAGAAGTTAAATTCTTGTGAATGAAAAATAGTTTTATTTAATTGTTAAAAGCATGTAGTTTGTGTATTCTGAATGATTCTGAATCATTATAAGTTTACACTTAAAAAGCTAGATCTTTGAGTTGAATAACGAGTGAGAAAAGTCTGGTATGAATGGAAAAACACTTTAGCTAACAATTCCAAATGCATTAGAAGTTATTACGGAAAAACCATAAAGCATTTAATCATGGAATCACTGAATCTCATCATAAAAATATAAGCAACAAGTAAATATAAAAGAATTCTTGTTAAAATAAATTAAAAGGAAAGGTTGAAAAACATCCTTTTATCTCTCTATGAATTATTTCATGTTGTTATTTCAGGAGCATTATGGAACGAGATGATAGGATTAACTTTGATTTATCGCAATGAACTGATTGCTGAAGCACTTTTGAATACTCTGAAAAGATATTCAAGGGTTAAACACAAATCTATATTGAAACTAAACTCGATTTATTCCCTGAGGCTCTGACTGTATTGTGTTGTGTGTCCTTCCACTTAACAATAACGTTCTCATTGTGAAATTGTATGCTGAATATAAATAACAATAAAATATGTAATTTAAATATCAAAATCATGTCAAATTCACACTTTTTTTTCTTTTCTTCTTCCGTCGTTTCTATGTTAAACTTTGGGACGACAACAATTCGAAATTTTTAATGGGAAAAAAAGTTAGAATGGTAAAAGTGTGGAAAGAATGGTTTGAAAGCTTTGTGTTAACTATTGTGTGTGAGCGACACATACTGAGGACAATAGTTAAAAACTGTCATAACACATTTCCGTTTTGATATTTTTTTTAAATTCGCTTTGAAGGAATGAAGAAAAATGTTACACATAATATGCGGTTCCATATTTTTCTGAATAGAAAGAAAACTGACACATATATTGCATTTCATTGTGTTTAATATCATGTTTGCGCACCCCCGACAATATCTTTGAATAAGGGAATCAGAAATGTTTTTTAGACAACGAAAATCGGAACAAACGCTTTGTCACTTCTTTCAGCGAAATAATCGAAAGAACCAAAAGCTATGGGGGAGATAAAAGTTAGTTTTGTTATTTATGTCAGGTAATTCAATGTTGATATTTATTAGCAAAGGAGAGAAATTAATGTTGATAAAATATTTCAGATTTTTACTCTTTATTAGCGATCTTTATTCGAATATTATTTAAACTAGTCATGATTGAAGGTTTTGTTTCTTCTAATTGTAATTAAATATTTACCTGTGATATTCTGTAAGTTCAAATGATTTAATTACCTCAAGTCAAGGCTTTCTCATTTGTAAATTTCTGAGTTTTTTTTGCCTACGTTCACACACAAATTTATGATGAGATGTGATTTTCCAGAGAACTTTTTTTTGCTAATAAAAGTTTTTATTGTCACTAAGCAATTAAAAGTCAAAAATTTAAAATCATGGGCGTTCAATTGGAATTAAAAAGTCAACTTTTGTTTCTAAGATGAACAAAACTTTTGTTGGCGAAGAATAAAAGGACGTGGTGGCACACTAAACATTCTAAAGCAGGTAGATTAGCATTGATTGTTTGCTTAGACTTTGTTGACTTTTATTGTGTTCAGTTGTACCAAACAATTAAAGTCAAAAAAATATTATTATTGCTTTCCATTTCTTCGCTTATCTTTAATGTTCTACTAAGAATGCGTTTACTTATTGTTCTACGAAGAGAAAGGACTCGACAACCTACTTTTATTGCCAGCAATCACTATTTGGTATTCTTCTAGACTCTCCTTCTTTAGGTCTTCATGTCTACTGAAAAGTATTTGCTTTGTTTATATGAATTGTAAAAGAGAAGAATCATAACTGTTTGCAGTTTATGAGCCAACAATAAATGCAAATTTTTCATGAACTTCCAAGAATTTCTAATAAAGTAAATTAAGTTTTAATAGTCTATGTAAAGTTTTAAGGAAAAAAGGTATTTAAATATTTTCAACACGCTTCATTATTCTCAATTTAATAATTCTGAAGAATGAGGATATTTGGAAGTTTAATCAAAGCATATTTTTTTTATAACAATTTGAAGTGCGCATAGAAAATTCGTCAATACATCGATTGTCATATTTGCCATTCGGATTATTTAATATTTTTACTTTTTTCTCATTGTACATATATTGACAAATGTTATCAGATTGCGAAGCAATTCACATCAGGTGATTCAAAGAAGCTATTTTGCAATCGTTTCATTCAATTGAAATTGCTGAAGACCTGCTACTATTCATCAAACATGTTAATTGTCAAGGTATCAGTTTATTGTAATATTGAAGATCGAAATAAATAAAAAAAAAAAGAGAAGCAAAGCCATTGCACAAAAAAGGAGGCGTTTGAAAACGTTTCACAAAAGTCATAAAGCGACATAAAAGCGTACAAAATAATAATTTTCTATCATTGTTGTATTCTCTTAGTTTTCGAACATAAAAGTATTTCCATCATACATATTTTTCCGATTTTCGAACAATGAATGTATTGAGTAGTGGCGAGCGCGCGCACTCATACAACCATCGACACCAGAGAAATGTTTTCAGTAGAGCTGAATGCACAAAGCGATAAGAGGGGAGACGGATGAATGGCATAACCAATTATAAGAAAAAGCACGAAAGAAATGAACCAATCGCAACAATTGTGCTGCACACACTAGCAAACAATACCTCGAGGGAACAAAGGCATTAAAAGCTGTGCTAGGCGCAGAGCGCACAAAAGCAAACGAGAGTTGAAAAACAGCAAGCAAGCAAGTAAGCACACTGAGAGCACAAAACGTTTCTCTCGTATATCATAGTCAAACGATTTTGTTTCATAATTCTTCTCATTCTTCTCTTCTTTTATATATTGTGCCTTTTTTGTATTCGACTATATCATATAGCAACAATACCTTGGTTTGAGCACACACAAAGCCAAGAATTAAAACAAGAATTGAAGAAACAAGTTATTACAGATTTTTACGTCGAAGTGTGAACACGTTTTTCTTAGCGATAAAAAAATATTATTTTCTCGTCGAATTAAAAAGAAAAGTTCTAAATATTTCCAATCTTAAACATTTTAGTAAAAGTTTCATAAACATTTACAAGGAAATATTTACAAAAGGAGTTGAAAACAATTAAAGAAGAATTGAATTAATAATTTGTGTTTATTAAAAAAGAAAGAAGAGAAATTAAAGTGTGATAAGAGAAAAATTATCTTAATTAAAAAATTATCAAAGGAAAGTGATAAAATAAAAGTAAAATGGCAAGTTTAGCTCATCCACATCAAGTGTATGGGTTTGGGATACCAAATGGATTAGATATTCCACAAGCTGGTGACTTTGCTCCACAATCAAATCTCAGTCCAAGCGATGCACAAATGAAGCGAAATGGACTTTCGTTTTCAGCATCGATCGGTCAAAGCGGTCATCACCACAATGTCATGATGGGCGGTGGTGGAATGAATGGACAATCATCACCAGGTCAAGAGGGTCACATCAAACGTCCAATGAACGCTTTTATGGTTTGGAGTCGCATGCAGCGTCGACAAATTGCTAAAGATAACCCCAAAATGCACAATTCAGAGATCTCGAAACGATTGGGCGCTGAATGGAAATTATTGACAGAAATGCAAAAGCGTCCATTCATTGATGAAGCAAAAAGACTTCGTGCTATGCACATGAAAGAACACCCCGATTATAAGTCCCGTCCGAGACGTAAACCAAAGAATCCATTGGCACAACAATCACAAAGTCTTTCAATGAGTATGCAACAACAAGCAAAGCAGTCAGCACTTCAGAGCTCGTACAATCCATTCCATCCTCAACTGCCACCATATTTTGCTACTGCTGGCTCACATCCACTTGAACAACATTATCCAGTTCCATATTTTAGTGGATTTGATCCTCTCGCATTATCAAAACTCTCAGCACAAACCAACAACAATCATCAAACTTCAAATGCCAATACAATGAACCAAACACATCATCAATCAATGGACACGAGTAAAATCGTCACATCTACACCTTCATTAGTTGGATCATTCTACTCGGGATTGTATAACAACATTACATCGCCTGCAGCTGCTCTTTATTCACAAATGCATTCAATGAACTCAAATGTAGCCGCCGGTCTTTACACACCATCGTCAGCTTCAAGTACATCACCAGGATCGAGTCCTAACACAGGCTCGCAATCAGCTCTACCTGATCTTGATTCATCGGTAAGAAGACCCGTTCCTGTTCTTTATTAAACATTAAAAACATTTCCATTACTTATCTTCAGGGTAAATATTTCATAAGAATCGTGAATATGAATTTTAATTAATTGAATTTTTTACTTTAATCTTCATTCATTTCATATTTTCCTTTAAAATCAAGTTGAAAATTCAAATCATTTGATACGAGGTACTTTGAATTATTTTTATGTTAATTAATGTCATTTCAAAATGAGAAATGAATTCTCAGATTTCTGAACTTGTTACTTTCATTTTCTTTATTCTTATCTAATAATTATTTCAATTCTCATAAAGTCAATCTTGTAAATAAACGTGATAAATAATTATGTAGGAAGGCAAAACGTAAATCGTTTATAAAAGGCGCTAGAAGAATGAATTACATACAAACATATATCCAATGACTGATGTACAAATGATGAAACAACAAAAAAAAATTTCTTTCTTTTTTTTTGTTTTCATGACATTTAGAATTCTGTTTTATACCAAACTAAGCTTAAATATTTTTTTCTTTATTTCACGACGGTAAACCGCAAATGTAAAAAATAAAAAGAGTTGAAACGCTGCTTTGAAAATTGTAAAAACAAAATTCTGATTGTTTTAAATGAATAATGTAAGAGAAATGTAAAAACTAAATAAATGTCATTTTATTTTAATTTCGATTAGAGAAGTGATTTGTGTTGTAGAGAAATGATACTAAATTTATATTATAAATGAGCTGAATTAATCGCGAGTTTTATCAGAGAGAAGAAGAAGAATAAAAAAACATTTAAAAAACTAAGAGCCGAATAAATATTTATTTAGATTTCCTCGCGTTGTATTGGTTAGGCCTCCTGATGTGAATAAATATAATTTTTTCTAATAATTGTTTAAAAAAAAGATGAAACTTTTATAGTAGCTGAAATGAATTCATTGAAATTAGTAAGATTGTAAAATAATTTAAGCGATATCTATCTAATTGAATAAAAAGAAAATTGTATCTAATAATTGAAGTTAACATCTTTCATTTACGGTTGCTGATGCTTACTCTCTCATTCTTTTTTGTATTTTTATTTCAGTAGCACGGGTTGATATGAGTAAATTTTCTTTTGGCTTAATTACGGCTAATTTTATTTGCTTTTATGATTTAGCTTGAAGTGGAATCACGATTCGAACCCCTTTTGTTGCATTTTTCTTTTTCATTCATTTTTTTTTCGAGCGATGAGCTGCCGTTGGGCGAAAGAAACAAAAAATAAAATTTGAAGTGTTGTGCGAAGTGTTGCCAGCATAATTTGTTCAACTGTTTATTTTTTATTCGTAAAAGTAACAACATAATTGTTGCAATATGCTTTTTTACGAACAGTGCTTCATATCATAAAAATTATGATGAGAAATTTCATGCCTGCAGTGCGCAGAATTCACCCTCGTTTCCTGTACTTATTCGTACACTTCTCGAATGCTTTTGAGAGAGATTAAAGTGAAGATCTTCCGTCCATGCGGCACAATTGTTTGATACTTTTGTGAAGTTTTTTCATGCCTCGATTCATATCGATTATTGAATAATTAAACTGATATAATCACTCTATTACTTCACTACCAAAATCTTTCTCTCAACATTTCTACCCTTCGATAAACGAGTCAATAGAATAACATTCGGGGGTTGAACTCAACTGAACTTTTTTTTCCTCTCCATATTTAGTTTATGTTTTTGAATTTTTATGATTTTCAGAACATTTTTTTCTGTTGTTTATTGATGGAAAGAGATCTGTTTGAGTAATGAATAAATTAAAAGAATTACTCGCTAATGTATCGTTCTAATAGCAGTGACGAGACGGGGTTGTTAAGTTACTAACGCAATAATATTATATCGATTGTGTTTGTACTTGCCACACATCTCTGCAATAACATCATCAGACAATAGTCATTAGTATGCCGAAAGGGGTGTTTTTATTTTCACTTTTTTATGGTCGCGCATGTAATGGAAACAACGTCAGGCGAGAGAGAAATGTTTTCATTACAATATTTCGACCTCAAATCGTTATAATTTTATTTTGTTACTTACGTGGTAACACCATGAATAAAGCGCATTTCGCTTGAAGAACTTTTCGATTGCCTGGGTTGCAACGAGCAGTTGCTAGACAACATAAGGCAATAAAACTTTATAGTAACCATTTTCTTCCCTTTTTTATATTACATTACCCAACGCTCACTTCCATTGCGGTTGTAAATGTTGGCATTTTATTAATTAGTTAATTATTTAATTTCTCTCTGAACGTGTAAAATTTTCTGTAAGTTTTTCAGGTTTTTTTTATTATTGGATTAGAATCCTTTTTTCTTAAAGATCTTTGACTTTCATGAACCCTGCTGTTTAAAAGAAGAAAATCATAAATTGTGTTAAAAACCTAAAATGAAAATTGCGAAAGAACATAAAGTAATTAAAAAGGGTTGCGCAAGAGAAAGCATTCAATGTCAAAGTTCCTAAATTTCATTTTACATCCCTTCGAAGTTCGAACCATAAATGCAAGAATTACAAAGAAATTTAGGCTAAAATTACCTTTTAATAATCGCAACTATGCCCAACATAACCCTGCAGCATAACTGCAATTATGAAATATGTTGTCATAAAATACTCTCGCTTTCTTTTAGAAAACATTCTCAAATTTCTTTTTTATCCTTAAGTAGATATGTCTGTAGGTATTTGAACGAGTCTTAGGACTTGGGAGCGACTGAAAGAAAATTATGAGTCATAAACAAGCAATTATGACATATTTATGATTTTCCAATTGATTTCATTTTTAAAAGTGCTCCATAGCATCGAATAAATATTTAAATCAAATGCTGTAATTATTTAAATTTCTAGTATGTGGGAACTTCAAGCATCTGCAGCACATTTTTTTTTGCAAAATAAACCGTGAGAGCAGAAGAAAAATATTATTCATCCACTTCTCGAATCATCATCGCTCAACGGCTTTTTAAGTGGCTTGTAATTTTAATAAGCTTTTCAATTTGTCAACTGTACACCCTCAATTACTTTGCACACCAGTTAACAACGCGAGTCAAGATATGTAAGGGAAAAAGGTTAAAGGGATGAGTGAAAATTATTAAAATTGCTTTTTATGAAAAGAAAATGTTCATTGACGTAGAAGCCGGAAGGATGACTCAACTTGAATCACTTGCTTGCTTGCTTTAGCATCTACACCAATGACTTGAAATTATAATTTTTCCTCCTCTTCATCGCTCTCCAATGGAAAGAAGAGAGAGGAAGATGATTAATGATGATTTTTATGCTGTTTACATAAAATAACATAACCATATAATATTATTAATGTTTTTATGATTTAAAACGCACATTAATCGCATATTTTTATGGCTCGGGGTATTCATTTATATCACAAGTCACAATAAAAATGTTACACACATGCACCATTATTCTTCTTCTTTTTTCCTTTAATGATACAATTATTTGAAATATCTACACAGAACTGATTTAGATTTCTTTGTTATCCTTTTCATCGCGGATAGAAATTTTCAATTTTTGATGAGTTCTCGTGAAAAATTTAATTAATTTCAATCTCACTTCAACATTTTTTCTTTTTTAATTTCGTATGATTAATTGCTGAGAATTTATTGTTGAATAGAAATAAAAAATGTATCTGATGTGGGGTTGTGTTAAAGTCATGATAATGGAAATAAAGATGATATTTGAACAAGAATTTCATCAACAAATCTATTAACACTGTCGAAGTCGTTTGTTTTGAGAATACAAGTAGTTTTTTCCTCGTCAAACAAAGCACATCGAAGAAGAGTGAGAATAAAAAAAAGAAGTGAGAAGAAAAGTCATCTCTTATTTACATCACAAAAAAAAAAGATTTTGGTTGTTTAAAATGATGTCTGGCCATTGTGGCTAAAGCATACATGTATGTTGTCGAACAGCCGTCTTTGTTATTGACATTCAAAATCTGACGCCATTATTTGATTTAGCATTCTTGAAGATATCGTTTGGCTGTCGATTCCTTCAAGTAATTTTAATACTTCATTTCCGACACACAAAATGTAATCGAAGAAGAATGTTAAGGCTAAGATTTTTTGGAAGCATCTTATGAGACTGGTTTGCTTTCTAACGGCACGAGGTTATTACCCATAACGATAAAGCATCACAGATAATTTCATAACCTAACGAAAGCAGTTTAAATAAAACACACAAAAATTATATGCATGGGTTGATTCTCCCGAAAATTACTTTGGATCATAATCACTTGTACAAATATATTACAAACAAAAGAAGACTGTTTAGTTTGTTATAGCCATTGCTATTTATTTGTTAATGTTTTTAACAATTTTCTTTTACAAACAACGAAATAAGTGGATTTATTGCAGGTCTATTTGTTGAGACAATTAACGAGTCATTTGATGCTCAGAAAATATTTTTCCATACTTTACATCCACTGTTTGTTACAAATTGAGTGTGCTACTCGTCATATGCATGTGTAAAACTTCATGAAGCATAACATGACTTTATCGATGGTATTGGCATTCCACTGATTTTTATCAAATAAGTCTTGTCAATAAAACAACAGAAAATTTCTTTTCACGCTTACTTTTTTCCTCTCTATAATTCATTACATTAAATTCCATAGATATTTCATGAAAGCAAATACAGACAGTCACCATCTATCTGTAATAAACTTTAATATTTGCCATTTAATTATCGACTTCTTTTGTTCGTGGACGTTGGAATATTATGATTTTTATGGTTTTATGATGTATGTGTTTGCATGTTGAGAGATTCATTGAGACATTTGAGTCAACACCCACAAATTAAAACAAACTAAAATTAATCGTCGTGTCCCCCTTCGATTTCAATCCGTCATCTAACGAACACTTTAACATTTTTTTCTGTTTACTCAAGATAATTATCGTTTCAAATATAACAAAAAGTGAGACACTCGAAAGCTTTTGAAAATCTTTCAAGAGAATAATACACTCCAACTATTCAACGTTCATAATAACTTAAGAAAATGAAACAAAAATATGTAGAAAAAAGATAGAAAAAGAAGTAAAGTCGTTAAGTAAGAAAAACGAAGCATCATAATCGCCTATTATTTAAACAAAAATAACAACAATCCACGACTGTAAGAGATTTCATTCATTCAGTGTGACTTATTTCTCACTTACTTTCTTTTATGAAAACATTTGAAATAAAAGATTGTATTGATACATGTTGGCGGCTAATTTCTTAGGATTTCATCGATCATCATCGAATCCTTTGATAATTAAACAAATCTTATACAATTAGTTGTGACTTTGAAAGTCACTGTTCAACGGAATTGAAGAATCGTTCAACGTAACCATCTGCCATCATCGTTCAAAGCTTAATAAAATGAAGGAAGCTATTTAGAAGTTTTGTGCTAGCCTTGAAGCTTTGCTTTGCTAGAAAAATATTAAAATAAATTTAACTAGATAGAAGTTATTTTTCGATCATATAAAAGCTCGATTAATGTTCTGTTACTCAATATATGAACTCGCCATAAGTAGTTTTTAATACTCTTCTTAAGCAATAGCAATAACGTAGGTAACAAAGTCTACACGAGCAGGCTAACAGCAAAAAAATAAATCCTCTCAAGACAAAAGATCGCAATTGAATTTGAATAGAGTCATACAAAACAAAATAATCTTTCAAGTGAAGAGAAAAAAAGTTACACTAGCTGAAAAATTACTTTACTTAAAAAAAATAATTGCTTTTTGAAAAGATCGCTTTTGCTTAAAAAGTGAATAATAAATTACAGCAAAACTAATAATCAAAAGAAAATTCAATTCGGTAGCTTCGGATCTTGCCAAAAGAGCCTCTTTACATTTCAGAAGAAAGATTATCTTCTTCTTCCTATTCACGACCGTTAGTGTAAGATGTGCCCAACCATCATCAGAGTAAAAGGAGAAAGAAACAGAGAAAGATTTGACGATAACAACGAATGGTGAGAAGCTTAACTATAAGTGGCTTGAGACTTATTTGTATGTCTAAAGTTTCTATGAATGTCTACATTTTTCAATGTTCATTGATGACTCTTTTCACTATATTGAATAATAAATTATTCTCTTAAATGACTTCTTCCAGCGTTCAGCTTCTCTTTGTTTCACATCATTGAAAGAAACAAAAAATCGTTGAGAGATTAAAGACCGGAAATAATTTTTAACGTTAGTTTATTAGATTTGATTTCAAACAATGTATCACATATGCTAATGAAAATGATGAATAAAACTAGTTTTAACGCAGAATTTCATTGTCACTGTCAGTTGCTTTGGTTGAAGTTTTTATTTTAAGTCCACTCAGTCTTTTGTCGTCTTCAAAGTTAGACATGAATTGTAAACTCAATCAACTCCAACAAAGCTTTATCACTTTGTAAAAAGATATTTGCATATGAATGGAAGATAAATATCAGTAGCAGTTTGATATTGAGAAATGATTCGTTGACTAAACTTGTATTAATTTTAATCACTGAAATTTCTTTTCTTATAGCAACATAAAACAATTTTATGTATCTATTTTCAATATCGATGATGATAGACAAATTTTTCAGCTCACAGATGTATTCTACTGTTGAAATCTTTTGTCTCGAAACACAATCATCGTGTTGTTCTCTTTGAAATTTATCAGCTACTGCGCGTATCTAATAATTATTTTCATTAGACGACCGTATCCAAGATTAAACTGTATTCAAATCGTTGTCTTTTCTCTTTACCAATATTGTTAATACATCATTGAATGACTCATCCCATAGATTGTATCCGATCGTGTTTTAATTATTATCGAAGTTGAACGAATGAATAGCTTTTGAAAAGTTCCATTGATATCGAATTACAAATTAAAGCGGTTCTTTGTAGTACAAAAGCATCGAGCTGCGAAATTCGACAATAAGTTGTTATAAAAAAAAGCTTATTTGCAACTCATATCGAAGAGAAAAGTTTTTATCGACAACCTAGGAGGTCTCGCACTTATTTCGGTTATTAAAAACGAACCGAGCCGGCCCTTTAAATTAAATATAATTTCCAGATAGCGTGAAAAAAGAAAGAGAATATGAATCATAAAAAAAATACAATTTCGATACAAAAGAGCAGTGACATTGCAGAAAAAAAACTAATTCACTTTTTTATATTATGATTGGAAACATGAATTCACCTTTGGCATTTGCTATTTGATGCTTTCCCGCAATCACACAAGAATAAATGGGAGAGAGAATAAACTTTATGCTGTACTTAACACCACATACGTACGTACATATCATGACCATTAGAAGTGTTTTGTGTTAATGCACAGTTTGATAAAAGTATTTTTTAAAAGGGCAGAGATTTCTTTTATGGTTGAAAGCGTTGCATCATTGTCCAAGAGAAGTATGCAGATGGTCGATGAATGCATGGAAAGAACAACAAATGTTTGTCCCTAGAACGATTAGACATTTTGACACAAAGCAATTGATTGTGCATGAACACAAAACAATATTTGGTCTTAATTTTCTTTTCTTCTTCTATTTTAGTGATTTGAATAGACTCAATGACGACCACCTTCAAAGAATGTCATCTACTCATTTACTTAACATCTCATTTCTTATTTCTGAAAGTGAATGTTTGTATTGAGATTCTATTTTTTGCATTTTGGTTTCTTTTTCTTTTGTTAGTTATTCCAAAAAAGCTGATTTCTCTTTAGCTGCGTGATGGAATTCTTGAACGTTTCTTTTCTGCTTACACTTCATTTAATCTTTTGCTAACAGTCATAACAAAAGCATCCATACTGGGACAAAGAAATCAGATTTCAAAAGTACATATATCAGTAATTTCTTGACTGATACATTTTTCAAATCGCTCTTAATCGAATCAAGCGACCTTTGAATAGCTTCAAGTATTTAACACCTCGTGATAGCGATTGTTGTTCGATAGATTCATTATTGAATTTTTCACGAGACATTAACTTTAAATAGTTTCATGAAATCGAGTGAAAATGTCTTTGAGTTTGTTCCCTTCCTTCTTTGTTTCCGATTGTTTGAGTTCTCGTTTTGTTACAATTCTTTTCCTTGAAACTGGATGTGTACAAACATCGACATGTAACAAAGGACATATTATTTTTCTCTAGTACTAATACCTTTCATTCGAACACATGTTCAAAGAATTCTGGGAAATAAAAATATCACAAAGATTTCGTCGCTTGCGCAAAATGTCCTTAAATGAAAGTTAAATATGTTCTTTTCTTGAGAAAATCTTTTGTTGCGAATCAAGAAAATAAAAGAATTTCATACAAACCGGAAATAAATCGAAGGAGAAAACTGGTTCACAATAAAAACAAGCAAAGAAATGCCAAAGGCATTCTTAAGTTCTTTGTCCTTGAATTGCGATATTTTTTTATGATTGTTGTAATTTATAATAAACTAATAAACATTGACAGAGAGACCAATCTCAATGAGAACCACCTGAACCACAATCCACAGCTATGCATTCATTGTTACACTCCAACTATTTAAAAACGACAAAAAACCGTTCGAGTGAATCTTTGTCAATCTTCCGCTCATTGTTAAACGATTTTAATTTGTTTTGACATTATGAAAATCTGCATTGCGAACATAATCAAATCTGATGCAACAAATTAAATCCGATACACATTTAAAATGCAATGCATTCGTAAACAAACAATTAAACTTTTTTCCCTGATCCTTTTGTTGTCAATTCATTGAAACACATGAAATTGAAAAGAATCAAAAAAGAAATCTAAAATAATCGCTCGCACAAATCTTTTCACATACAACGAGACAATTGCGCAAAAAAGGGATCATCTATTTACGCTTTATGCAATACAACAATAAAAGGATAATATGATGTTACTAATATTCTGAGATTTCAAATTTCATGTAACGTTTGATAGATGCCATAAATTTTGTTGAGGGATCAACAACTGTGTCCATGAGGGTTACCTGAGTTTCATCAAATTTATTCCATTTGCAACATTTGCACGTTCCTTATGATCGCTTCTTGATCTATATTCATGTAGATATATTTAGCGTAAAATTCAGGATGTAAACTAACAATGAGATTAATTTAAGTTTTTTTTTCCTTTTATTTCATTTATTGTTCACCGACAATAGCAGCGGAGAGGGAAGATGAATAAGGATACAAAGGTGAGAAGGGTACTTATGGTGTTTAATTCAGCGCAGAATGTTATAAATATTCCTTTTTTTTCTTCCAGCACAGGAAACTTCTTTTTTTCCTTTCACTTGAAATTATAATTCAGCAATAAACTGTTTAAATTTTAAAGTGTTTAAAACTTTTTTTTGTTCATCTCTTATTACCTTGTTTTGGACGATGATGCTCGAATCGAGCTTTAAAAGCAGTTTTACAACATTAGTTCGGGCAGATGCGATTGTTTCATCCTTTTGTATCCTTTTGTGGGATTTTATGTGAAGAAAATGAAATTTTACGTAATTTTCTGCTTTGAAATTTGGTATTTATACGGCTATTAAGACAAGCGGCTTTACTTTGATAAGATTTCTTTATTCACGTGAACGTAATGTTTCTGTTTCTTTTTCAAATTTCGTTTAAGATTAGATATTTAGGTTTCGATGAATTCCATGAGAAATAAAGAAAGAAATCATTTAAATTCGGCAGCTAATCGATATTTGATTTTTCATTGTTTGATCCAACATGATTCGTCAAAAATCGTTTAACCTAATTTATTGATCATTCCCAGGCATAAAGGAAACACAAAATAATAGGTAATTGATGTTTGTTGCACCTGTATTAAGTTTAATGTGCTTTATTGTGTACCCAGCTTGTTGTTTCATAAGTTTTGTTTACAGGGAAAAAATATTCTACGATATCTACGGAAAACACATCATCATAGGTCAAAAACATTTTCATTATGAACGACGAGTCTGCCTTCACTTGAGAGTTCTCGATTTGTTATGTGCACTAATAATAATTTTTATGAATTTTCAATTTAAATTTTACGCATTGATAGTTTAATCATCTCGTTGAGCGATTGAATTCTTAGCAACAGCGCTTCAGCATAGCGTGATACTTTTAATAATCTGAGCTTCTACTTTTATTATCAACAACAGCATCGTTGCTTATTAAATGGGGATTATATTTCACGAAAGTTTAACATCAACATAATGACACTTGCGCTCGCGCAAAACATCAAATGATGATTTTTGACTCGAGACTCTCCGGTTTATGCTCATTGATTTCACCGGATGTTTTCCACTTATGAGTGAGTTCTTTTTCCCCGATGTTTAACAATTTTTAGAGCTGTAAAAACAGAAAAACGTTTTTATTGAGATTTTTATCACATTGTTTGAACTCAAATTTTTGTTTGAATGAACAAAACAGCAGAAATGTAATCGGAACCATCAGCATTGTGGAACGAACAAAGCCCAACTGTTGGTGTGCCTACTCCAAATGATTAAATGAAAACTCACCATTCTATGAAATATGTCAATTTTTTTGTTTGCCAATTAAAGCGATTGTCCGACTGCATTATTTACTAAATCGCGTGATTATAAAAAAATAGTAATTTGTGTCAATGAACTGGTGACATGTGTCAGCAAGCTACAAACAATGAAGATCTAGTTAGAACTTGGAATTTTAAATCTCTTTCGATATGAATGAATAATCGCGAACTATTTCCTCCAAGCTGAATTTTCTTTTAAAACGGAAAACAAATTTTTCTCCTTGAAAGTTGAGAACGTGCTGTAGGTAATTTCAAACAGTTTATATATCGTTCTCGTGCATTGTTCGCTAAATTGTAAAAAAATTATTGTACCGTGCACACGTTTGAGTTATTCAAATTTCATGTTTAATATTGTTACAAAGAATTTAATCATTTAACAATTTGAGTTTCATATATGCTAATGGATTAATGAAACCTTTTTTCCTTCTCACAATGAGCTCAATTTTTATTTTTTCGTTTCTATTCCAGTACCGAGCCATTTATTTTATTTGTGGCGTGTATCTAGTTTCACTTAATACTTTAATGGCTTTCATCTAAAATTATTCTTTCGATATATTTTTTTCTGAATGTGGAATTTTAGTCTAATTAAAATTCAATTTCCAACAAAGCACAAGCGGCTCTCAAGTACCGAATTTGAATGTTCTTATAAGCACACAGACACACAAGTAAATGAACAGTGAATGAATATTAAGAAAACCAACAACATCCATCCGACAAAAAGAAGTATTAGATAAAAAGAATTTCAAGAGTAACTAAGAAGATGAATAAGAAAAGAAATCAAATCATTTTTATCCACAATAAAACTTGAATTTCCATAACAATGACGGCACAATGAAAGGAATGAATAAAAATGATTCATAGTATCAACAAAAATTATGTTTCCATAACTCGATTGTCTTCAGATCTTTCTCATCATGAGCGAAAAACCGGCTGATAATGTAACATTGCCCTAGTTCCTTTTTTCTCTGTCCAACCTCAATATGATTTAACTTCTTGTAACAAATCTTCGTTACTTCAAGAGTTTGCGGTTTACTTGTGATGATTATAGATGGTTACGTTTAATCTAATCATACTCAATCATTTTACAAAAGGGAGAATACATACCAAGGGCACTCGAACATTCGTTTGAGCATGAAACAATTGTGAACTTATCTGAATCGTATATCCTGTTACAGATCCTGCTTCCCAAGGTACTTAAATTGATTGCTACATGTTTGAAAGTGCTTCACTTTTTAACAAACAATTGCAATAAATTCTTGTTACATCGACGAATATTTAATCGTGCTACAAAGAAAATAGCAAATTTGCGAGTTCAATATTAAATGAGTTTGTAAAATGATTTTATTTTCTACGAGCACAACAAATGAGGTTTTTTTTTATATTTTGTTTGTCTAAAAGACATCACGACAAAAATTAAAAATCTCATTGTGTTGACACCGCAAAATTGAAGTCTGCTGAGGTTTTAAATGAAAGTTTTTATTTTCTTTATATTGAGAGGGAAAAACATAAAAATTTCACAGAATGCCGAGCCATATATGCAAATCTTCAATACGTCTTTGTGTGGCTTTTTATGGTGCACATTCGTTCTAAAATGTTTCAAAATCTGAGACGATTTTCAGATCAGACTTTACTAGTTTTAGTGCCCTACGTAAATATTCTTCAACTGTTTGTATCAATTTCACGACAAGATCATCTCGTCAATCCTAATCTTCTTATGAAGAATTTTTCACGCCTTTTAACACCTTCTTACAAAAACAAATAGCAAATCTCTCTTGCAACTCTCAGAAATGTAATTAAATGTCTGCCTTCAAGCCATGCGGTCTGTTCTAATACTTTTCTGAGCTGATCTTTAACAAAAAGGAAAACACAATAATCATTATCAACTCTAAAACTCTCGTAAATTAAGCCATTCTTCTCTTTCTGCTTATTTGTGTTTCATTTTAGTTCATCCTTTGTTTCATTTAGAGAAGAGAATGCATACGGTTTCTTTAAACTTTAGATGTGTTAGCTTTGAAAGGACAAAATATCCTTACAAAAGTTTCAGCAGAAATATTTTTGTTTCTTCTTTTTCATAGAGAAACATTTTTTTCTAAGAAATGGAAATGAAAAAAAGGTTTTTCGTCCGAGAACTTTTGTGATTTCATTTCACAATTCTTTTCAACAGTAGACAATTTATCATCGTTTCTAATCCATTATTCTGATTCTTTCTAATGGTTTGCAGTGTAAGAATTTCTATTCTTCTCATGGAATCTTTTTTTTCCTCTCCAGACTGTTTGTCGCCGAAGTTGGGAATCATTATAATGCAAATGAGTTCATTTGTTTCTATTCAAAGCATGAAAATTCTTTCACTGATTCGGTAAAGATCAGAATATCAATTATAAGAATTCATTATTGAAACAACAAAAAGAATGTTTAAGTTGAGGTCAAAGTAATAAACATCATCCTAAAAGTATTAGTTATTTGATCATAATTTCCAATTCTTGGAACCATTAAAAACTGTATAAATTATCTTCTTAAAAAAATAAATAAATAAAATGTTTTACTCAGACCATTTCAGCTTGTTTTCTGTTTCAACTTTTCGTGTTTCGATTGTTAAAAATGCAACTCAATATGATGCCATCATAAAATGTTTGTAAGTGACGTTACCGATTTCATATTTACGAAGCAAACTTATGTTGCAGCATAAATTTATATTTTTTATGAACATTCCCATGACACCTCGGAGCCGAAGTGTCTAGAACTGATCGAAGCTCTTCTACCTGCTATTCTCGTATAGGTCAAATTGAATTCATTCCTTTTTTGTTCAGGAATTCGTTAAAACAATTTCATTTTTTCATTATTCACGCAACAAAAGCAGTCAAAAGGCAAGAAAGAAATGTAGAAGGAATGCGAGAAAGACCAACAAAGAAAATGCTAACGAACACCTGACAAGTCTTTCGTGAACAAGGAGAAAAACACATCGCAAGTCTTGAAGAAATCTTTAAACTTCGAAAGCGATCAAACGATCATTCTAAAAATTGATGTGCTTCAATGTTTTCTGCTACATTAGTTTTGTCATGATTAATTGGAATTCCTCTTAGTTAATGATATTTTCTTGTGTTGTTCTTCTATTTAAATAATTTTGCTTCTTCATCTGTTTCGGCATTTTTGGCAGTGAGAAGCTAGACAACAATAATATTTATCCCGTCTTAAATAAGCAAAGACTAGAGACTGGCCATAGACGAAAAGAGTAATGGGAAAAATGAAGACACAAATCTTTAAAAATGATCTGCATAAAATGAAGTATCATAAGGATGCTGTTGCTTGACTATCCCATCAGAATGAAAAGCTCTTAACGAAGGATAGAAATAAATAAGAGTATTTGTCTCATTATATTCCATTTTCATTTCTTTGTTAAAGAATTCCTAAAATAAATTGTCTTTATTGTTTGTCGTTCTCCCGATAGCTTTTGTAACCTTTCGAAAGGATAAAAAGATTTTTTTATTCTTCATCCTTGACCATTTGATTTTGTGTTTTCTTTCTTTAAAAACGAAAATAAATGCAACAAAGGGATGAATGATTCTCAATGTGAACTAAGCTTTCTAGACTGCTTGTCGCCTTTTGAGTTCCACAATTTATTTCGGTCTTCGAACAAAAGTACTAAATAGTTTAAACATGATGTTCTTGGAAACTTATAATCTAGGAAATTCCGGTATTTATGAGACTATCTAACTTGATATCACAATTTATGTATCTATATGTGTACATAAGTGCAGGTATCACATAAAGTGTTGTAAATAAACGAATTTATTAGGCTTCTTCTTAACTACTTTTTTTTTGTTTTCCATTTTTCTTTTAATCCTCTAGATTGAAAATATTTGTAAGATTTCTCTTGCTTGTCATTCAATTGATTTGTTATTTGCAATCGTATGAAAATTATAAAAAATATTATTGTAGGGTCTCTTCATCAACAAACTTTTATTTATTGTCACTCGAATCTCGATGTCGATCTTCTTATTCAGTCTGCTATGAAGAACAAAGGAAAGTTCAAAGCAGGGGTCGATGATTTAGATTTTGCCAATTTCTGGAAGATTGTAAAACTCTGTTACACATTTCACATTTGATTTGCGAAATGGGAGATATGATTTAAGAACTTCAGGTTTTCCATTCTTCTCGTATTTTTACGTTCAAATAAGAAGCCCGAGAAAAAAGATAATTTTCTTTCAATTAATTTAAAATACGAGGGGTTAATCGAGAATGAAATGTAACAAAGAATAATTCAGAAACCCCATCCATTCATTGTGTGATCTTTTATTGTGCAACAAGGAGAAGAAGAAAAAAGGATATTCAGCATGACATGTTTTTTGCGATCTTGTTTTTCTTTACTTCTGTTTGAGAACCTTTTGAATAAATGTTCAATTTAAAATTAAATGCGTTTTGCTACCTTTTAGGGGATTGTTTACCATCTTTGTCAAGTGTTGTTCGTTTTAAAATGTTGAACAGAATGAAATCGTGAGAAAGGAGATGTTGACCAAAGGTATGAAGTGATTCCAAGTCAGATAATATAAATTTGATTAAATGTGAAATCAGAGAATGCAGGTCTGTCCAAGAACGTCTCTTTTTAAATAAAAATTAGTCTCATAAGCGTTGAATCTTCCCTACTTGAAAACTCTTCCATCAAGAGATGTTATGCGACCTTTCGTAAACTGTAACATTCTGTTAACTGCTTGTCTAATGAATCTTCTTCAAGAATGTCCATGTCACATCCTGTTTTCCTTTTTACTTCATCTTCTTGCGCAACAAATATCACTTTGAAGTGAATAAAAAATTGAAGCGTGAAGATATGCTTTTGTCAAAGCCAAAACAAAAAGATTTTAATTTTTTTTCTGTAACTTGAAGGTCTTTTCGGAAAGAAATGCATGTTTTGTTTCTTTTGTTGTTTGAGGTGATTTTGAATTATGAGAGATAGGAAATCTCCCAAAGAACTCAAGTTTAGGAAAAGTGGGTAAAAAATTACCCTTAACTTGTTGAGAAAAAGAACATTTTTAACGAAAAAAGGATAGGATGAAGTTCTTTGGAAAATTAGCGAAGCGCAGGTAAGAAAATAAATTATGACCGATCATCAAAGAGATAAACGCAAGGGTGTGTACAAGACATTTTCTGAGAACAAAAAGTTTCTTCACTCTTTCCTAATTTAATTATTTACAGAACATTTTGTTTGGAAAATTTTCTTTTGGATACTTGTTTGTTATAAATACAAATCCCAGATGTTTATCTGATTCGATTTCAAGGGTTGCATGTTTCGCAAATGGTTAATTGCCGACTTTTCAAGCTTGATTAAGAACAAATCGTTTCTAAATGAAGAGCTAGTGAAGGATAACAAAAAATTTATTTATTGATGTTAATCTGAGTTATGAATCAATACACTTTAGTCAAAATAAAATGTTTGATGCAGGTCGTGGACATTGAAATTGAAATTCTTTCTTTGGCTGTTCCAAAGTTTGCGAGATCATTTAATTAACATAAATGAAATTGTTGAGAATATTTTGAAGTTTAAAAGAAACTCTCATGAAAAAAATATGAAGCTACAAATAGTCTCATCTAACAAGCTTCTATTTGAATAATTTAATAATATTTTATATGAAATTTTCTTTTTCTTCGTTATGACGTAGAGATATCAACTCAAGAAAGTTAAAAAAGTGTAACAAGAACAAAAAAAGTCTGTTTTTCGGCTTATGCCATTGTTTGCGTGGCATTTATTTCTTGAAAATATAAATATGAATATCGTTATAGCAAAAGGAGAAGAAAGAAGATGATAATAATAAAACGATACACACAACCAACATACAAAATTTATTGCCCAATAAATTGGAATTAGCTTTAATCAAAACGGCAAACAAGAATAAAAATGGTTTTATAAATAAAATTTATGTACACATTATGTGCTACACATATATCGGACAACTGGAATTGTAATGTTTACGAAGAGAAACATTAAATTATTTTTTAATAAACGCTTTAGATCGTAACGATGCACTCAAGAATGTTGTTAGTTAATCTCTCATGGATACGAACCTGATTGCTGATGTTGATACAGTTGCAGGTTAAACCGATGAGTTCAAAACAATTTTTTAAAGCATTTATTTTATATATGTATATGAAGTAATTACTTGAGTCTTCAATGTGCTTATGAAGGTTCCTGTTGGATATTTAAATTGTATCCAATCATTACAAGAATATGGCTTAAAGACTTTTAATGAAAATGATAGTCACAGTTTTAATTATTTATACTTCTTTTCAATTTTACGATGTCCCAAACAGTAAATCCTATCAATGATGATAAACATTAATATCTGGTCGCTTTCTTTGTTTGTCGTTAATTCTTAATACTTTATGAAGATAATTTTGGCTTTAGATTCATAATTTTTATTGCATTTTTTATAGCAAAATTTGACTTTTTATAGTCTACCGCACATTCATAAAACTAATTTGAAGGTCTCGATATCATGACTTGGTTTAATCTCTATGAAATATGTGTGATAGAGTTTAAAGAGAAAAGCTACGTTTAGCATAAGTAAACATGACATCATTTAATAATTTACATCCACAGAAATTGCGATCTACATAAATACACGAAAATATTTCTTATATTTGGCAATGATCAATAAATATGAAAAGACTTCAAAGCGTAAGCATTCATGATCAAAACAAAATTCCGACTCTAATTGATTAAATAATTTATCTTTCATGAAATACTTGAACAATGAAGAAAATAAACGAGAAAAAATCACATTAAAGTCCATTGATAAAAATAATAATGATCGTCAGGTTGGAGGTTGCACCTTGTTGTATTAATCAAATACTTTACCAGTTAACTTAAGTGAAGATTCGTCGAATGAATCATTTCGAACTCTTAAATTCCCTCTGTTGTTGAAGAGAATCTTTAAAAAGAAACAGCGGGTGTTAAATAGCTTATGATGTTGATGGTTAGGGAATATTTAACATTCCTTTCGCCACGTGAAGCGGATATGAATGTTTTGAAATTAAAGGACATGTTAAAGTATTTTTCATTAACTATAACATTATTTCAGCTTCTAGTCATTTTAGACTTTCGATTGAAACTTGTTTTTTCATTGAGTAAATAAATAAAACTTTAAATACGCTGTGGCAATTGCTTTGGAAAGCGACACAAAGCAGCATTCTTACCTGTGAAAGAAATAAATAACTCCATGACAAAATGCATGCCGTCCTAGATGCTTTTGCAATGTGAAACTCAAGCGCACAATGACAGGAAATAAAGCCAACAAAAACTGCATTCTCACAAGAAAAGAATTTTTCTTTTTCTCTCGTTTTCATTGTTTAAAGCATTGTCACACGCAAAATGGAAGGTATTCAGAGATAAACAGTCAACAACAATGGCATATTCGAAAAGAAGAATGAAAAAGGAGATGGCAACGATGGAGAGAAACAAGTAAATTGGACACCATAGAAACAACTTTCATGAATTGTCTTTCAATTCAAAACAACAACGCATTGTTTCCAATATCTTCTAAGCAAAGACTTGCTGCTGTTACGTGGTTCATTCATAATTGAAAAATAATTTAAAAATCCTGTTTTTGTTGTTCTCAATTTTCTTTTCCTTTTTCTCAAACTTTTTATTTATTCTTACTTTGGGAGTTTGTTGAGAATTTTGTCACAACTTTTCTAAAGTTTTGGTAATCTTCGTCACGATTTGTGATAATAACGAATGAACATTTTATTTGAACTTTTCCTATATCCCAAAAATATTAGAAGTAAAGGGAAAAGGGATTTTGTCAGCATTGAATATGACACGCAAAATTCAATCTCTTTTGTGTTAAAACTTTTTTTTGTCAATCGATAATCTTCAATCTATCGATTGCTCTCATCGTCATTCATTCTTTACCTTTCTTGTTTTTTAAGGACTACTTTTTTCTTCGAATATCGATTAGTTATGAGAAGACAGAGTTGGAAACATTAATGGAGTGTTTCTCGTATTTCGGAGGCACAAACAGATGGCAAATTGATTGAAATCTGAAGGACACTTTGTGGATTACGTCAAATTGAAGTTATTTTCTTCCGAGACCGTTGAACGATTTCTTTTTTATGTTGTTTGATTAAGTTGAATAGTTTTGTTTGAGACCTCCAAAAAGAATCATTTGGTGTAAGCAAGATACTACTAGTTTAACAGATGCTACAAACCATTGTTGTACAGAATCTATTCTTAATTGAAGAATAAGAAAGAAGGCAGATTATTCACTTTACAACAGCGTTTGGCTTTGAATGCAAAATCAGTTCACGAAAAAAGTATCAATTACATGCAATATTTATTGTCGTGAAGGAATAGAAATCAAAGAGCCGTTGTCTGTATAAATAAATTTATCAAACGTTGTTAGAGCTTAAATTCGTTACAAACCATCAAAAGCAATAAATTACACAATCCATGAAAGAGTTTATGCCGCTAAAAAAAGGCATCAAATTAGACTCGAATTTGATCTCGGCGAGCGATGGTGAAGTAAAAGAAAAAAAAGAGCAATTCAATTGAAATTTGTTTCTCAATGAAATATTTTAATAAATTCCATAAATATCTCAAAGATCATTCATAATTTTCGTTTTATTTGTTGTCTATTCTTTTCCCGAAGTTGAGAAGAAAAGTTTTTCCATCTCCATTATTCATATTGCTTCGAAAGAGTTTCTTTCTTCATGAATAGAGACGTGGTTCGAAAGAAGGAAGAAAAAATGAAGCAACTTAATAAAACACATTATTTATTAACCATTTCTGATATATTTCGATGCTTTGTGTGATTATCAATCGACTTTCAAGTTTAATGTAAATTCCTTTTCAAATAAAGAAAGAGCGCCTTGCGTAGGGATAATGAACAATCGAGTGCGCGCTTTTTAACTGATCGGTAGTAAATCTCCTTTAAAAAAGGAAAAATCTTTTGATGTTTCTTCACAAGAAACATCTTTGAGGATTTACGAGCTTTGTGTTCATTCAAGTAATTCAATGTTGTATCCTTTCATCTATTTTCCCATCGAAGAAATATTTTGCATAAGTTTCCGCTCAATCGAGCAATTAAATTCTGATTCAATTTAAAAGATTTTAGCAGTATCATAAACATAAAATCAATCTCATATTTCAGAAGTTCATGTGAATAAAGATTTGAACAGGGCCAATGTTTACCATTTCAGTTGTTCATTAAAACATATCAAGAATCAAGCGCTTTTTTCAACTTCATTCAGCCACGCAAAGAGCTTCATTGTAGTCACTCTGCTCATCCAATTCAATGACCATTCATTCGACTCTTTTTTTTTGAAAACAATTTTTAAATTGTTATTTTTATTCAACAAGTTCTACACAGCAACAACAACAACAACATCATCATTAGCAGAGAAATCTACAATAATTAACAATAAAAATCAATAAATTTTTGTTCGATAGAAGACAACACAGAGAGCAAGCCCGAAACGAGAATTTCAACAGCATAATACAAAAAAAAAATCAAAAAAAAGTGAAGAGAATCCAAATCTCTATTTATTCGTTTCCTGTTTATTCAAGTTTTCGGCGGGGCTCGGTAAAGAAGAATTGATTATTGCGTATAGAACAGAAATCATTCAATTGTAATAATTTTTTTGTTATGATTATGTGAATTTCAGTCGCAGGGCTTTCATGAGCTTCTCTTTCTTCTTCAACTTCTTTTAGCACATCGTTAGATAAGAATGAAAGGTGAGTGTTGGTAAGAATCCCCTGCCTCTGATCAATTTCATTCATTCTCCTTATTTTCGACATTAACCATAAAAAATTTTGTCTCTTTTTACACAAATATCACAAATATAAAAACACAAAACGATCTAACACCTACTTCTTACTTTTATACCTGTGAACGAGGTCTTTCTTCTGCAACAATCCAAATGATTCTCTTTCTAGTTTTCTTTTCAGCTTTCATTATTTCTTTTTTCTTTTCCTTTTTTTTTGGCATTCAAACAATGAATGATAATTTTTAAAGCTTAAAGTCTACCAAGAAAAACCTGTAAATTAAATAGAAGAGGAAAAAATTGTTGCTTTGAACAATGGTCATGAGACTGGTGAATGAAAAATTCTTTTGCCTTTTGTGAAAAACATTTTGCTCTTATGAAAGTGATATATTTTGTCTCCTGTTTCTTCTTCAATGAATAGTGTAAGTGTGGAACCCTGCAATTCTTTTGATGACAAGAAAAAGACAAGGAAGTTGATGTATTGCACGTTTTGAGAAAGAAAAACGTTTAACAATTGTCAATGAAGGAAGATAAAAGCCATAAAAATTTGTTGAATTTCTTACCAAAGGAAAGGTTTAAAAAAAAATAGAGCCAAGCTATAATTTACTCTAAAACATAATTTCGATAGGCGATCTGAAAATATTTAAAAGTTCAATCCTTAAATGTGTCATTAATTATCAAGATTGATATTCACATTGAAACATTTTACAATTTTTAACACCGACCTTCTACTTCTGCCACAGTTCAATCCTTTCAAATCGCTTACTGCAAAAAAAGAAGATTTTATCGCTTTTCAATTCGAAACCATAAAAAATGAAGTTGTTAACTGCAAAAAACGCCCAGTTTTATTAAATGATTCCGATCAAACTACCGATTCAAACGTGCATGTGCAATAAATTTAATGTGCAGTTTTTTTTTTTCGCATCCAGAGGCAAAAAGGGTGGAAGTTTAATAAATTTAAAATTTATTCTTTGTGGCTTCGATTAAATTTATCATTTTGAATGTTTTTAAAAGTATCGGAGTCAATATAATTTTATTTTGTGAAATGATTCCATTAGGAAAGTTTCGAACGAGTTAATAAGTTAACTACATATACTTAACGCGAACGAAATATGTGAGAACGAAAATTTCTTAATGGAATATTTTTTTGTATTTGATTTAATTGAATTAATTGAAGAAGTTGTAATTTCTCGTTGATTTCATTCATTCATTCATATGCCATATGGTGAATTGCAACACAATCGTATCGATTCATAAGCAAATTAATATTGAAATTATTTATGTTTGGTAACGATCGAATGAAGAACATTTGCGAAATGCTGTTCACATCGTAAATATTCATAGCTCTTTTCTTTGCAACATAATGCATATCTATCAGAATTTCAATGTTGTGCTGTTCAACCCTTTCTTGTCATGCAAAAAAAGAGAGAAGAAAGGAAGAAAGAAGGAACTATCGAGCATTGAGAATCTAATTAAATTCTATTCACTTCCATTACGATGTCAATCGATATTTTCACCCAATTGTGTGCAATTTTGGGGCGTTAGGAAATGTTCCCGTTTTGTTATTTATTATTTTAACTTTTCAATCAATTGCCATCCAAATTCCTTCATTCTTCTCCTTTCAAGTGTCACCCGAGAATCATTTCACCCTTTCTTAAACTTTTCTTAAATCTCTGATGCTGTTGATTGCGATCTTTTACGCGGAGAATTTGCCTTTTCATATTCATATTACAACTACATTATTCATGTATGCAATTTCCCTCCAGCCTTTGCCTTATTCAATTGTTGGCTGTTACAAAGTTATTTGCGAAAAAAAATATTGATTTCCTCAACCTTCATTGTCAGCTTAACATTTTAAGGAAGTTGAACATGAATATGTAAGAGGCAAAGATGAAATTAAAAACATATCAAGCCCTTTCTCAAACATATTCGCATACATAACTTCAGAGCATTGTGAAATTTCTAAAAGTTGTCATTGTTGTACAATTTCATGCATTTTTCCATTACAATTAAACAGTGCCATTGTGTATCTTGAGAAAGTTCAATTGTAAATTGAATTGACATTTTACATAAATTATTCTTTTTAATTTGATTTAAGTTAAGTTGTCTGACTGAACTTTAAAGAGTTCTCGTGTGACTGTTGCGAAAAAAAAAAGGTAAAAAACTCTTTTTTATAATGCAAATTTCTATGGATGTCTCCAATTACAAGCGCGCGAACAAAACAGCAAAGCATTGAATATAAAAAAAGACGAGATTACATGATACTTAAAATGTGCTTTGAATAGACAAAAATAAACTCCCTGCTTTCATGATGAGAAGCCAACCGTTTTGATTATGCAGTTTGAATAAACTTTTATCTATGTGAATCAATAAAAATATATTTTTGATGGAAAAATCCATTCAAAACTGGACAAAGCTTACTTTTCTCTATCTCTATCATCCACTTCTATTGTCAGCTTACAATTCAGTATGCGGAGGAGAGAAAGAAATCTCCAGATTATCACTTGTAATCCTTTAGCATAATTTCGTTCGTCAGAAACTTTTCTCTCCTAAATTCGTGTCTCTTTCTAGTTTCTGTGGGGAATTTGAGCAAAAAAAATCTTTAATCATCAACAGGTGTTGGTTTTTTGGACAAAACTTTTATATTTTGTGCCTATCTAAATACTTTACTTATTGTATTGAACATAAAAGCCACAAAAACTAATCCAAATTTCGTCCGATAGAGAAAGGATTAGAATGGAAATGTAAGAGGATAAAGAATGATAATAACTCGTCTCATGAATTTGTTTTTCTGTAATCTTTGGCTTTGGATATTCTGACGATCCAGACACTTTGTCACCGCACCTTTTTGACGTTATAATACATATCATTTATGTCGAAACATTAAAGAGCGTCTGTCTACAACAAAAACATCTATAAAAGATAGGCTTAAGTCAAGGCTCAATTAAATGGACCTCCAAGACATCACTTTAATGATTCTAAGCTCCAGAAAAATGATATTTACATAAAAAAACAGAGATTCAATAAATTCATCCAATCGATCATGAGGTTTCACTTCACAAAGCGGAGATTGATCCTATGTGATAAAATTTCTAATTTCTTTCAAAGCATCAATGATACAAAAACTAAATAGATTGATATTTCTATAAATGGTTTGTGTAACTTATGCCCTTACATAAAACTAGTGATGGGAGATTACTGTTCAGAAAAGCGGCGTAGTTCTTTATAAAATATTTAATTGAAAATTTTCTTAAGAAAGGAATCAACTTTGATTAGAATGAAAGATAACAACGCACGTTTCTTTGAGTCAACAATCAATTTGATTTTTGCAAATATCGTTTAGAATGTTAGTTTGACAGTGACATTCGGTCATCTGCTTTTGTCATGCTTAGAGAAGAATAAGAAATAATTACATGCGCGTACTTTAATCAAACCAATACAATAAATTCTCATTAATTTTATGTCTTCGAAGAACGGGAAACCAAAACTCCATCACTAACCTTTCAATCTTCCCCCAAATCGAATTCCACTTTAATGCATCACAAGGAAAAAAAAAGGCTAATAAATGAAACATATTTTACTTTTTATTTCGTCAACAACAAAAAAAGAAAAAGGCAGCGAGCTTAAGGAAAGAAATATATATCAAAGCGTGTCTTTTCTTCTTTTATATCAGCCATTTTATTCCGACGTACAATGAAACATTCCAGTATGTTTTTGTACAACCGACAAAAACAGCATTCACCTGCCTGCTCGAAGTTTCATTTCTTATTATTACATTTTTTTTCTTGTTATATAAAAAAGGTGATTTTGAATGTTGTGCGAAAGAAAAGTCATTTTTATTGTTTACGGAGAATTGAACCCGTCGTTGATGTTGAAAAAGTGTTCTTTTATTGCTAAAGACAATCACGCATGAGTGATTTCGATTTTTCACTCACCGTACGATTAAGTAATTAATTTGAAGTCATTTTTTCTCTTTCTTTTCTATGTATTGAATTTCTTGATATGCACGCTGAACATTCTTTACTTATCTACCAACCAAAAATCGAGTTGAAAAGTTCTCAAAATCGAATTGATTTTCTCCTTTCTCGTCCCAGTTTATTGCTTTCTGGCAAGATGACGTCATAAGGATGCATGCAAAATAGGTAATCAATATTTAAAGTTGAAATTTGATGTTAAATATTTTGTTGCAATTTAAAGTATTTGATGACGAATTCCCCATTTTATTGAAGATGAATTTAATGTCGATGAGCGTTCATTGCGCATCTTCAAATTTCCCCTCGAATATTATCAACAAATCATGCTGAAAGATTTAACAAATTTGTTCTCCTTGAATATCATGCGAATGTAATTTATCATCATACATTTTCCATATCGCTTCTTTCGTGGTGTTTGTATTATCCACGCCTACACTTTCGAAGTTCGAAAAAGAAATACTTGAAAGAAGAGAAACATGAATGAGCGTATCGTGTCGGTATCTTAAGGCACAGCAGTAGCTGTAGATGAAATCAGAAGCAGCATGAATTTTTATCGATCTATAAGGTGATTTGGGTAGAGAATCGGCATCTTGCCGTGTTTAGGATTGTGTAAATATTAAGATAATTGTTTTCTTCTATTCTACTTCTCACACGTTTCTCAAAAAACTTTCAGATGAACATATATCTTAACTCTTACGATTATTTCATTTCTTTATGGTGCATTAAACAGCGAAATCATTAAACAACAACCCACTCATGTTGAGTTCGTCTGTGTATATTTTTCGATGGTCGCGATACATTCTCGTGCATGCATATTGACTTTATTTATGTTCACATAGACACATGAATTTTAATTGCTAAACGAAGAAAGAAATATCTAATAAATGATGAAGAAAATACTGAGCCAACGATACAAACAATACCAGCAGACAGTTGCAAAGAGAGAGAGAAAATACCAACGAATCCGCTGGAAGACACACAGCAAGCAAAAAGGCGGACGCATGCTCTTTTTCCACATTACACCGACAATCAACGCAAGAAATAACAATTTTTATTTTTCTTTCTTCTTCATATCGCCGCGACGTTGAAACGAACGCTTGTGTGTGGTTGAGAGGGCTTCGAATAGCTCTTTTTATTGCCTCTGACTTGTAAGAATCGAACACAACAATTTTTTTTACTTCTTCTTTTTCATGATTATTTCCAAAAGCGAAGAAAAAAAATTGTATTCGAATTGAAAGAAGTCAAAAAACAAGTGAATAATAATAAAATGTCAGTTCTTTAAAAGATTTTTGCAAGCTTGGAGCTTTTTTTGTGTTGTTCCGTGGCGATTGAAACGGGAGTGTTATTTACCCAAGTAATAAAAGTGGTTTTCTTATACAAATCTTACAAGAGAAGAAGGAAAAAAAGAGTTTTATCGACTATAAGCACAATTTGCATGCATAATTTCTCGGTTTTTTTCTCCTTATTTTGACATTGATGTGACGATTTAATTAATTTCGTGAAAGCTTTTTGAAAGCTTTGAAAAGATTTTGGACAACGTCATTGTATTCAACAAAAAGAATAAAATAAAACGGCACCATAAAATTTGCATAACAATCACACGCGGAAATTCTCTTTCTCCCTACCGAACATCAGAAGAACGCGGCCGAACATCAAGCTAAACAAATAAGTCAACAATAGTTGAACCTGTCATCATTTTATTATTCATTTGTTTTTTGTGAGAATTTACGGAGAAAATATTTATTCAGTTTGAATCAAAGACATTCCGCTTATTGCTGTTACAAGTGATTTGTGTGTTCATTTGACAGAATGTGCTAGAATTGTTTCTCAACAATCAAGGGGATGAAACTTAACTTTTTGTGGTGTCATTATTAATGCAACCAATTGAATTGTGTAGACAAATTCAACAATCGAATGTATAACAAGTTAAATTGTCTCGTTTTATCCCGCGGTTATGATTCAAGTCATAACAAATGTCTGTCTAAAGAATTTTGTTTCCAATGAACTCACTTAGCTCAATTCATTAACATCAAATATCAGAATTGAATAATCTTTTTTTTTCTTGGAAGCTGCAGTGCTTAACTTAAAACAATATTCTTGAACAAAGCTCTTTAGTTTTTATTTTTTAATATTTTATTGAGCTGTAAAGTTAATTCCCTTTTAATTGGAAAACAATCTAAACAAAATCTTGCAACATTTTAACGATACGGTTATTAAGATTCCACGGGTTAAGCTCGTTGAGCATAATCAAACGATGGAAGAAGATACATTGACGAGAAATAATATTTTTGTTCTGTTTATTACAGTTTTGCCTATCAAACTTTGATGATTTCTGGAGGTTGAAATTATTGAAGAGAAGCTCAGATAAAAATTATCTTCTCAAAGAAGTTTTCGAGTTCGATTAATAAGATTATAAATCATTTATGTTATAAAACACACTGTAAAATTATGAATATTTAATTTGTTCTCATCCGAAGCAAGGAAAAAAATGTGAAGAACTTTTATAGACCATAAAAGAAGTGAACATAATTTAGTGCTTGTGATTTGTTACGATCTCGCAACGAACGAGATAAAATAACGAATAAAAAAATGTGAATGGAAAACAGTGATAGTTGAATAATCTTGAAAGTATTTTAAGGATCAAATCGTGGCTTATGAAAAAAGAACAACATAAAAAATTGAGAAAACAAAAAATAAAATATAACTATTTGATATAAAAGTTACCATTAAAACTTGTGCAGTGACTTTTAAAACCGTCTATTGTGGATGAAAATTTTAATGCTTTGAGTCACAAAAGGTAAAGCTTCAATTTTAATTAATTTTCAGCTTTTGTTTCTTCATTTGAACTTTTACTTCATTCATTCATGCTGTAAAGATGAATGAAAAATGTTCAAAGCACAAATCACTGAGATATTTAAAATGAGAAATGAATAGAAAACTTTTGATTCTTCCATCAAGTGCTTCCACCTCATTATTCAATTAATTAAATGTCAATTAATTTTCCTTTCTTTTCCTGTTTTAATTGAAGTTTCTTAAGAGACTGTAGAAAAGCAATCGAGATGAAAACTTTTAATTAATTAATTTTTATTTGTTTGCTGCTTGCTAATATAGCGAAATGAGAATCAAAAGAAGTTTGAGACGAAATATTTTGTGTGTCAATATTTTTTTTATTTTGGTTTTTGTCGTAAAAGGATTTATGGATCAACCAGGATAAATGGTCACTAATTTAGCTACTTTGTACAGAAATAAACCTCCCATTATTTGTAAAGAACAAATCGATGCACAACAGAGAAACCTCGCAGCACAAGCGCAATATTTTATGAATAAATAAACCGCTGAAATATGGTCAGAAATTCTTGTATTTTGGTTATTTATGTTCAATTTATACAAGAAAAAAGAAAAAAGAAATCCTAAATTAGTTGAATTTTTCTCTTCTCTTACCTTTTGTTCATTTCGTTCTTCTTATGATTTATTTCGTTTCGCATTTGGCAGACCAACAGACAATCGAATCGGTCGACGTTTTAACGCTTGAAAACAATAATTCTCACACAATACATAAATTCAATTTTTAACGCGACTAATATCTGCAACATAAATTAATGTTTCGGTGGCTGAAACGGAGAACACATCATAACATGAATTCAAGGTCATGACTTTAAGTAAAAATATCTGCTCGCCAATTACAAGAAATGATTAAGTGGAAAGCAAAGCAGTTGACAAGTAATTAATACTAACGATCATCGTACTTTCCATATAAATTCATTCTTTCATTCTCACCCACAAACACTTTAAAATATTAAACACAAATCACATTTCAATAAACCTTTAAAGCAGACTCAAATTTGAATTTTAAAGTAGAAGCACGAAATGCAATCGACAGAAAATCTGAAAATGTTTTAATGCTTTTAACCCCGACATTATGGTTTCAATATTTTAAATTCCTTTCCCCCTTTAAGAGTGTGCATCGAAAATCGTGAATTTTTCCTCCCTCGCCTGCCTTCATTCGACAACGACAAACTTCGTTTTTTTATTATTATTATGATGTTGTCAACGACACAACAACAAAAGAGCTCTCTAGCATATTGTCTGACGCATTGAGCATATTCACGAAATTCAAAGCAACCCTCACCATGCAAATCTCTTCTTTACTAAATTTATGAGATTTGTGTACATTTCGATAAGAAAATTGCAAATTAATTGAGAAAAAAACGAGCTTCCGAATATTCGACTCGATTCTGTAATTTTAATTAAATATGTTCTTATAAGTTGCACAGCATGATACAAATTGCAAGGATTAAAATGTTGCAATTTAATTCTTTCCTTGGTCATTTGTGTCGATAAAATTCAGTCAACGATAAAAATCACTCAGCTATCCCTAAAATGATTGTTTACAGCACCAATTGAGTTCACCAAGGGAAACTAAGTTTTTTTATTATTCTTTTTTTAATGAATCCGCAGTGCGATAAATTATTTGAAATTTTCTTTTTCCCTTCGAATCATTCCAGTTGCGATACGAAGTCTATTGTTGTAGATTTTTATTGGCCAAAAATGAGAGAGAAAATCAATTTGTAAGTGGGTGATAATTGATCGAATTATGATATCGAATGCCACTTAATGATAATTATGTATGTTTTATTATCGCGAGTTTCGATTGCCGACGGCTTTCCACGTGCTCTTCATCTTCAAATTTTACTCTTTTGTTGTTAGCGCGATGTTCGTTACACTTACAAGTTCTTGCAGTCCACAATATGCTTTTAAGGTTTAATCTTTAGTGCAAGCCGCACGGTTATGTAAGCATAAAATGGCTTGTAAATATACATCAAAGCGATATGTTTTATGAGATCTATGGCAACCATAATTCCATGTTCTAAATGGTGAATGGCAACATAGTAAAATTTTATAAGAAATGAAAGAAACACAACAAAACACCCTCCTTTAGCATTAATTATTTAATTCACACTTCACTCGTGAATTGCGTTTAGAACTTTTTTTCTTTCTCTCTTCCAGTTACTTTGAATATGTATTTGAGTCAACCACATTCAAAGGATTTTAATTAATTATTAGTCTTCCCTCCATCTACTCAAATCATCTCATTCTGAACCTGTGAAAAGGCAGTTTTTTGCTTTCTTTTTTCTTTCAAATCTCATTTAATGAAATTTTATTCATTAATATAGAAATGAATGAATAGAGTAATGAATGAACGAATGAATGAATAAATACTTGTGAAGCCACATAGATGAAAAAGCGCCTTCGACAATAGTAGAAACAAAGAAAGAAAAAAACTTTTTACACAGAAACTGAAAATTGTTGAAATTATTATAATTTTCACCCTAAGCCCCATTTTGATATGTAAGTGAAAATCAAAGCAAAATTTAGTACTCGTTGTTGCTAAGCAAACATACATCACCTTCACACTTTCCTTTTGTTGTCGATTTAATTAATTTTTTGAAAAGAATTTCAATCGTTTTGAGCTTAATTGGTTAATGATAAACGAGAAAAGCATTGAAATATTTTGAGTTTCGTTTTCATTCTTAATATTCTGAGCAAAGTCTTGCATCTCTTTAACTTATTTATTTAACAAGACGCTCATAAAGCGAGGAAAGTAAGAAGAAATTATCCTCAAGCGACATGTCCATAAATTTATTTTACACAACAACATGACTTTGACATCAATAAATTCTCATTCACAGCATCATGAAAGTTCTTCGCGCCTCCGTTCTATTGATCTCCAACAAACTTTCTCGTAGAAGTTTCGATAAAGAAAAAAGATTGAATCAGCATCCGTATTTACATCTTTCCTTCACATTTACATATGATGTGATCTAACCATAAGCGAGATGAAAATAAATAAAAGAAGCAAGCAAAGAAAGCAAAGATTTAAAGGTGCGCACATTTCATTCATACTTCGGATCGGAAAAGACAAAAAAAAGCATCTTTCACCTATTCATGGGTGTCTATAACACTTTTCATGTGTCTTCACGAGGAGCTAAAGATAATTTTAGAATGTAAAGTTGAAATGAAAACGATCTGCTGGTTTCTCTCAGCTGGATATTAATGAATAAAAAATTATAATCATCATCCTACCAGAAAACGTTCTTCGCGCATTCTTCGATAAAAACAACACACACGGATAGCTCAAGACACAATAAATAATCACCTTAAAAATTCTTTTCAAAACGTTTATGGCTGAAAAGACGCTGAAGACGGTTTGGTTCGAATAGAAAGAAGAAAATGTTCTTATGACCTAAACAATAGCTTAAAGTGTGAAAATGTGTATTCATTTAGAAGAAGAGAACTAAATACAGTCATCACATTCTACATTCTTGTCTTGTCGTAATAGACTTTTTCTCAATCGTTTGCCTTCGTTTCCATTCATTCATGAATCTTAAAAAGAGTTTAAAAAACATTTCATTTGGACGACGCGGGATTTATGAAGTTATGACGTAACACATTCTTGAGTCATGAAGAGTACTTTTAGTTGAGAGACATTCTTGAGAGTAATCAATCAAAGATTTAAACTTTGAGCTTTGTTAATAAGCCGATTCTTAAACATCGTTTGCATTTTGACACTATCGTTCATCCCCAAATCCCCAAAAAAGAAGAGGAAGAAAGCCTTCATATTTATCTAGAGTCGACGAGCCGACATTCTTACACTTATTGTCTGTTTGTACACTACACGCCAAAAGCATTGAAAAGAAATTTAATTTCCATACCGGCGATTTTTATTTTCTCAATCAAAAGCTGAGTCATGTCGGACGCGTTTTTTGTTTTGTTTCTTTCTATAACTTGATCCGCTGGAGAGATTAGAAGTGGCAGAAAAATATCAATGTCATTAAATTAACGAATTGTAATTTCTCTCATTACACATACACACACACAAACATCCCGTCAATGATCAAACGATAAAACTGTTTTGCAAATCTTGATGTGCAGAATTCCAATCGTCTCAAAATAATAAAAAAGAAACAAAAATTATTAACTCTCATGAAAAGAATGGAAAAAGAAGCTCGTCATCTCTAACTTTTATTCTTCTCATCCGCCATCGCTTGGTGTGTAATAAAAAACTCAGCATGCGATTGTCCGAGTCAATTACTTTATTTCATTTATTTCTTTTCTTTATCTCTCGCTTGGACTGTGAGCTTTTTCTTTTTCTTATTCAAATCACGCAGCTACCAACTTTTTCTTCAATTCTTCTCTCAAACTTCAAAGAAAATATGATCATGACTTCACATTGTTCTTCAAAGAAAGTGTAAAGTGAAGACCCGCTTTCAAAAAAAAAGAGAAAAGATCAAGGAAGTGATACCATAAGATATCATGCCAAATCGACAAAAACCTAAATTAAAACTTCGTCTAAGTTCTCGCTCAATCTCCCACGATTCAGCCATGAAACATCAAAATATTTCTCCAAGATAACCCCTGAGAATTTATTACCTCACACTGCTGGAATTGAATTAAAGTTTTGAACTGAGCGCATATCAACAAAAAGAAAATTCTCAACTCGCGACGAAATAACTAAAAAACTTTAAAAAAATAAGCAAAACATTTTTTTTACTTCAAATGTTCGTGATATGCGTGATATAATCATGAATCTACAACAAAGCGTAACTAATTTGTTTTCAAAGGAGAACGAAAGCTCTCTTTACCCGTTTTTGGCATGAAATGGAGAAGGCATGAAAGAAAATCGTGTGATACAGTTTATGGTAAACATCACATTGCTTTCTTTAGGCCGTCTTTAAAGTGCTTAACACCTTTTTTTAAATATTTTCTTTACTTTGCTTTGCTTCTCTGATATGATGATGAATGCATGAGAATCAAACATCACAAAACGGTTTTTGCTTCTTCTTCATCGTCACTTCAAATTATCAAAATGTCAGTGAAACGAGATTTGTACATACATGAAATCTAATTAAATGTTGAATGTTCAGTTGATGGATACGATAAACGATTAAAGCCTTTCTGGAACGGTCGACTGATGAAGTAGCCGCTTGAAGTATCACATTTCGCTTGTTTAAGCTTCACAGATCATTAAGTTGGTGTGAGAATTAAAATGTGGAATGAAAATATCGAATTACTTTCATATTTTAATAAAATATTCTCGTGATGATTTCATTTTGCTGAACAAAAATTTATTGCACCTTAGAACACATTTAATGGCAGTGAACTCTTGTAGATAGCATACAATAAAAAAGTGCGAAATTTATGGAATATCAGTGCCGTAGTGCCTACTACTGTTTTCCTAATGGTCATTTTATGCATGAATATTTTTTTCTTTGATTCTTCATTGACTGTCTTAAATAAAGACAGTGAAAAAATGATGACAACTTGAAGTTTATTTTTTGAAAATCTTAAAAGAACGAAGTCAATGTGAAACAAGAATACGAAGCAACCCAAAACTTTTTATTGGCATTCTTTGGATTCTGAGGAAGCCGCCAATACAATCTTTTATAAAATTTATGAAAGAAATGTCTCTAGATATTTTATCCCGCTCCTGCTGTGCGCTTATTCAGAAGATAAAAAACTGAATTAATGTTTAATTAAAGAATTTCTCGTGGTGTTTTTTTATTGTTATTATTTTATCTCGAAGAAAACTAATACTGTTATTTATGTTCCTTTCAGGATAATCAGATAGACAGACAGACAGACAGGCAGACTGACCGACGATAGAGTTACAAGATATAAGAGAGGTTTGCATATAAAATGATGGATCGAATACCATCAATATCGTTGACCGGATTGTCATTATCTCATCATCCACTTTCATCACTTCAATCGCAAAATCTCGCGACATCAACGAACCCATCATCAGCTTCACTCAATCAACAAGCGTTGAACTCTCTCAATTTCCATCAACAAAATCACAGTCACAATCAACTTAATCAGAATTTAAATCATTCGCTGATATCTTCATCCAATAACGTCACACAACATCACCAACATCATCATACTCATCAACAGCAGATTCAACAGCAACAATCACAATTGCATTCAACAAATTTACATCATCATCAACAGCTCAATGGATTGCTCAACAATGTCGGTGCAAATGGGTGAGTATCACTTGCATGGTTACAAATCTGAACTTCAATTTTGAAGCAATTCTTTTCTAATAGTTCCACAATTTTTAGTCTGCTTACCTCGTCATCGTTGATGAAAAAGCCACACGATGATCACATTAAACGTCCAATGAATGCTTTTATGGTAAAGTAAATTAATTTAATGGATAAATATTTTTAAATAAATTATTTATTACGACAGGTTTGGAGTCGATTGCAACGAAGAAAAATCGCTCAAGACAATCCCAAAATGCACAATTCGGAAATTTCGAAACGATTGGGTGAGTTTAAAATGAAGAACAAACAAGTTTAATTAAATTTTAAGATTGAGGTGAAGAAAAGCTTTCATTTATCATATCCACATTTATTATGACAATGAAGTTGAGAACAAAAGACGAAATTATAATTACTGGAAATTGTCGAATGTTATTGTTATTCATCTCATAACTTTGTATCCTTTCGTCAACGATTTATTGTTCGTTTCAACAAACACTCACAAATTATTGAGATATGACATTAGCGCTTCAGAATAAGACAGAATTAGCTCTTAAGATGACAGTCGTATTAAAACTCAACACGATTCTTGTTATTCAAATGAGAATTTTCATTTCTTAAAACCACTTTGCATAAATGATAATTTCACTCTCACAGACTGTGATTGTTATGATCGTTTCGGTTTGTTGTGTTTGTCTGCTGGTAACAGAAATCACAAAATTATCATATCACTATTTATTTGAATAACTTTTGTTTTGGTTCATAAGTTGAGATATCAAATTGAAATTCTCGTTTAAGCTCATCTGGCTTGTCGCATTACGCAAATATTATTCAAAAGATGCTTTTCATCTTAAATTTATTTCAATTGACATTCGCTATCAAGAACAAGGAAGATGAATGTTAATTAATTTTCAAGAAGAACAAACGAGAATTTAATGTTATGTTCAGTCTTAAATAATGTTCACAAAAATGTTTTTCATTTGGAAATATCGTAATGAGCTTTTGAATGAAAAGGAAAGAAATAAAATAAGATGAAAATTCCCTGCTACTGACGACTGACAAAGTATAGAAGTTATAAGTTCTTTATTCCGACAACAAAAGAAAAGTTTGCAATTTTTTTTCATTTCCGATGGAAAGGAAACATTTTTAAACGAGAAAAAACGTGAAAAGAACATATTCGATTGTTATGTTGAAGAGAAATTTTCTTTAAACTTTTATAAAGTTTTAATAATACTGAAAATGGCTTTTAAGCTGTTAAAAGTATTGTTTGAATGTTTTTTTTTTGTTTATTGCTCTCATCATTCTTTGACAAATATTTAAAATGATTACGCAACTTAACAACAGAATAAAAATTTAACTTTTGCCTTTTTAAGGATTTAAGACAAAAACAAAGCAAGGGTAGTCAAGAAGTCCTTTAAGCTATTTACAATGAGCAAGTAACAGCTAATTTCATTTGTATTAAACATCAATTGCATAAATTTCCCAAGCTTCTCTCAATAAGTAAAACGTTTCTTAATTGCATCTGCCACGACACGAAACCACACTGATTCGAACGATTGCACGTGCCCATAAACGCCAAACGTCATTATCATCAACAGCAATCATCTCATCATCCTTGCACGCACAGTTGTTGGTAGTTGGTAGAGATTCACACATTATTCGTTATATTATCATGTCTAGCGGCAGGCCATGCTAAATATAATAAGGTAGCAATTGAATCGGAATGAGACCTGTTACATCAACCCTCTTATCGTATTCTCCTTCAAGGCATTTTCAGACCATTCACAGCTTGTCGCTCTGATAATAGTCAACACAATGAGTGTTTTCATCAATTCAACTTCGAGGGTTATTATGAATTTCAAAATCAAACAAAAGAAAGAGACTTAAGAGAAGGGGGAGTGAATCTCATCATACAAAGATTCTTTGCTTATCCATTATATAAATCGAAACCATGCCCATATATTGATAATTCGTTGTTTTTGTTGATGAAAAGTGTAAACATTTCACATTCAAAAGAAGAGATGAAAAAAAGATTTGTGAAAATAAGAAAAACAAAAAAATTATCATGTGATTGTAAAATGTTAATGTCAGTTGGTGTCAATGAAAGACGTAAATAACAATGATCACTCCTATTTTAATGGCCTTCCGTATTCATTCAATGAGACTTCGTCTTTGTTATCACTCATTCTATTGTGAAACAGCAATTCAATGTTGTTTAGAAGAATGAAAAGTTTTGATGAGGAAAATTTAAAAAAAAGCGAGGAAAAATGATCGACACTTGAAAGGAAATCAAGTCCAATTTGAAGGAAAAGTTTTGTTAGATAACAATTCTCTCACAATTTCTAATTTCCTTCTTTTTTAACAACCAGTTAACTTATATGCGCGATATTGACAGCAATTTTCATTTTCCATTCGAGAGAATTTTCAGAGAGTGAGGTGGAAATGTAATTAAAACTTCTATTGATGAATAAACTTGAGTTTGAAAATGGAATCAGAACATTGATTGATTTCGAATATTTATCGGACTTTTCTATATTTTCAACTTCAATTCCATGTATGAACTTATTTATTTATTCGGATCGTGACTCATTAAATTGCAGTGATACATGTTTTCATTCATCACAAGAAAATATTTTCATTTCTTTTTGGGTCAATCAGTGTAAGTCTCAAAAGTCAATATCAAAATAAATTGCGCTACATAGAAAAGAGTTCGACATACATAGAAACGTACATAAACATATAACCGAGATTACAGAAAAAAGAGTTGCTGGCATAGCATAATGATTCAATATTGCATTGTGTACATATTTTATAATGGAAATTCCCCTAACGCATTCATACTGAGAAAAATGAGAATCGTAAAATCAATTGTTTGGAATTCAATGTGAAAAACAACAAACAATGAAATTGAAGAGTTTCCTATCGTTTTATATTTTTCCTCTATTAAGGTTTTGTGATTGAACATTGATTAAATATTGACAGGAAAATGCATGGAGCAGTTTTTGTTCGATGTATTCATTGTATGAATTTGGGAATGTACCTGCCAGACTGAACAAAAACAATCGAGATTATTTTCTTTCTTTTCAATTCTATGTGCAGTCGATATCAAATATCAACATAGAATTCTTGGATGGATGGAAATAATTTAATCCTTTAATCAAGCTTCTTTTCAATCAGTTTTCGTCAGCACGTGTCTCATTCTTTCTGTCGCATCATCGTCAACGTTATCTGTCAAAATATGGAATTTCCACTATATCAGTGATTCAAAACGACACCCAGTTAAGTTTAATCGCATTAAAAATGTCAAAATATAAATTTAATCAAATTAAACTGCGTGTCGAATCTGACAAGGGATTTAAACAAGTATTTGCGGTCTTGAGAACCGGAAATTTGGAAAAGCAAGCATTTGAGAAAGTGAATAAAGTTTAAAAATCAAGAAATATTCCAGAATTAATTAAAAACATAAACAGTTTATATAAAGATCAATACTTATAGCAAATAATAATTGTTACTGTAATTAACTGCAAACAATAAAAATTGTTTGTCTAATGATCCAAGAAGAATAATTAAAGATATTAAAACGACTTTGATTTTCTAACTGAAACTGTTATAATGGTATTTATAACAGTTTCAAATCATGCTAAAATATTGAAAAAATGCTAAAATGCAAACATAAACAAATTAAAGAATTCTAACTCAGGAGTTCTAATAATAATTAAAAAGTTAAAATTTAATGTAAGTGTCTGATGGAATTGTTGAAAGCCCCAAGTCACAGTATCAATTTTGATACGCCTAATCGAGATAATCAAAGTATTTACGACAAGAAAGTCTTACTTGGTCGTGGTGGATATGGAATAGTCGTTCGCGCACATTACAAAAATCTCAACGTTGCTGTGAAAATTTTAGAAAAATCTAACTACATCAAATATCAATCGTTAAAAAAAGAATCGAATATTTTAAACCTCAGTCACGAAAATATTATCAAAATATTGAAAATTGTTGATTGTAAAACGTATGGTGCAATCATCATGGAATTTCACGAAGGGAAATGTCTTCAGTTCATTCTTGATCATTATCAAATTGATCTCATCCATCGTTTGAACATATTAAAAGACATTTCGAGTGGATTAATGTTTTGTCATGAAAATAAAATAATTCATGCAGACCTGAAGCCACAAAATGTGATGGTTGTATTCGATTCACCAATTGTTGATAAAAGTCGAGGATTCTTGTGCAAACTCTTCGATTTTGGCTGTTCTATAACCAAAAAAATAACTTCTGATAAGGACTTAATGGTGAGTTGAGTTTCAAAAAATATTCATAGAATTAAAAAGAATCTTCTTGTGATTAAGGGAACAATCCGTTACTGTGCTCCAGAAGTTTTACGTAACTTGGAATCTGACTTTACAATCGATATTTATTCTTTCGCCATAATAATGTGGCAAATGAAAGCCAATAAAATTCCCTACGATTGCATTGTAGAGAATGAAACAATCATCTGGAATGTGGTGAAGAATGATATGAGACCAGATTCGATTACTGTAAACTTTGTCAACAAAGCATTCAATGATGTAACAAAACAGCAACACAGCAAAACTGAATTATCATTTCATCAATTGAAAAAGGTGATAAATTCACCATTAACACCAAAGTTCTTCAAAAGAAACATTGAAAACGTACCTGATGTTCTCATCAATAAACCTTTGAAATTATTGCAAAATTTGTCAGATGCTACATTTGTCCCCAAAAATCAAAGCTTAAAAATCCAAAAACGTGTCTCGTCTCGGAAGAAACTTTTCGATTCACATCTTTCATCACCAAAGCAGTTAAAGAATGAAATAAAATCAATCGATGATCGACAAAATTTGTTCATAGATGAAAAACTTCATCTGCGATCGCCTGGAGCAATCTTACTCGTCGAGAGTCAGTATGATAAAATGTATATCGATTGCTGGAGTCGTGATAAGAATCTAAGATATTCTTCAAGTGAAGCTCATGAGCTTCTTTGCTATTTTATCGACTCGTTAACTTCATAATTCTTTTCAAAGTTAAACTAACTAAATTCTTTTTATTTATGTCGATTTAATGTTTTATTTTATCTTTTTTATGTTTCATTCATTTTAACTGCAAATTTTTTAATTTTTCTCACTGTTTTTAAAAAAATAAGCTTCAATTAGCTCTTTTATATAAAATAATTGTAAAGTCTGTTTTGTTACTTTAAGATTTTAAATTTAATTTAATGTTTCTGTGGAAATTTTTATCAAACAACTTTGATTTAATTAGTCATTGATTGCGTATTTGTTGAGATTTGGACTCCAAATAACAAACCAAGGGAACTCTTGTATTATCTGAATTCTGACAATAGAAATACAAACGAAATTTCTATTGTGTGGGATTAATAAAGAGATATTAGATGATTAATAAAATAACAAAAACAGATACAAATCTTTTGTCATCAATTGGTGAATTGAACAATGGTTGGGTTCTGGAATTGATTACTGTATGACATCTATTGTGGAAGATTTATTTACAATGTCATCGAGAATTACATATTGATAGAATTTATGTGTGCACGAATTAAGTTATTAAAGGGTCAAAAGAAGTCTTTCTTCTGTCCCCTCTGGGATTAGTTTAATGTATTTCAGTTTAGGCTTTTGATAGAATAAAAAAACATTTCTTTAGGGCAAAAGTTTACAAATTAACTTTTTATAAAACAGTTCAAACACCAGTTGTCTATCATTTTAATTGCATAATTTTACATTTTTTATTGAAAAAAATCATTGAAAACAGCGACGGTTAAACAAGTTTTCATGCTATTCACAAAGCTCCACCTTTTTCCTCTCGAATGCATCATTGAACGGCTGGTTGCATTTTCCACTTCACTTATAAAGTGTAAATATTTAATATTTGATAAACTAAACTCGGACATCTGTGAGTGAACATTTATCGTCGATAATTTCAATTTTTTTTGAACTTTTAAATTATATAAAATATCAAAACAATATCTAAATAATCCACTGTCAGTGCCATTAATTACATTTTTAATAAAATAAAGAAGAAAACTCTACAACTTCTCAATTTTATAAACTTTGCAATACTTTGCACGTTACAAAATGTCATTGTCTCAAAGTTTCGTTGTTAATAAAAAAAATTGTTAACAAAATGCCTAATACGCAAATGATGATGTAAAAAAATTGAAACAATAGCATTACGAAGACAAAAGATTTTGTTCTTTCCTGATTATTCCCTGCTTTTTATTCATTTCGAGGAATTGTTTGAACAAGGGCAAAGTTTTATAATTGAGGAAGGAAATACACCAGAAGCGGAAGATGTGAAAACATGTGTTTAAACGACAACATTTTCCACGATATTTCAACATCAAAACAGCTTCTGGTTGGTTTTTCTTCGTTCATGTTTAAACTTTAAAGACGTTTTTCTTTGCACACACAACAATCTACTTCTGCTATTCTATATTCGAAACATTCAAGCGACATGAATATGCAAATAATGAAGAGAAAATGAAAGCTTTTTGTCATTAATTAAACAACGTAGTCCCAAGAAAATATTTATGTGCTGTGTGAAGAAGAAGCATATTCTGATTAGTTTCCAGATGACAATGATTAACGATGGAATGTGAAATGGAAATTAATTAATGTTGATGACTTTCCTTCTCTCACGACTGCGTTGCAAATGGCTTCGACTGTCTCTCCGACATTCACCAGAAAAAAATGTTTTATTCTTTTTATTTAACAGAGAGAAAATATATTTTAATTAAAGTTGAGAGTTTTTGTGCCTTAATTTTCTTAATGACTTTTTTCCAATTTTCCGTTCGACATTAACAATGAACGAAAAAGAAAAGAAATAAAATAAAAAAGTGAAAAACAACATTGTCATTCGATAATGGAAAATGTTTCCCTTCCATTTCGTGGTGGAACCTAAAAAAAAACTTTCCCCCATTGTAATCTTAGTCTTTGTGCTTTCGTCGTGATATTCTCCATTTTCCATTCTTCTTTTTTGTCTACGATGATTGAAACTTTTTTTATCTAGAAAATAAATGGGTTTGAGTTTGTGACATGAAATGTGTGTGTTGTGTATGAAAATCAGAAACAATTATTTAAGAACTTCTTTGAAGTTTCTTTCCGAATGAGTCTTTTGAGGCATTTAATGAAACAACTAATGATTACTCAAATTTCCTTCATTCTCTTCTCCATCTCCATTGTTTTAAAATTCATTCATCTCGATAAGTTTCATTCTTGTTCTTCGTTAACGCCCCCATCCATAAGTTCTTAGTTATGCGTTCTTAAAACATTCGTTGTTTGATGAACAATAAAACTTAATTCTCATTATTTTTTCAGGAGCTGAATGGAAGCTTTTGACGGAAGATGAGAAGAGGCCGTTCATTGATGAAGCTAAGAGACTTCGGGCAATGCACATGAAAGAACATCCCGATTATAAATATCGTCCACGTCGTAAGCCAAAAGCATTGAGACGAGATGGTTATCCTTATCCAATGCCCTACCCATCTGTGCCCGTTGACGCTTTAAGAGCTGGTGAGTAATGAAGGCAACAAATCGCATGCTATGCACTCATTTCTTATCAAACTTAACAACAGTTCTGGATGAGTGATTTAAATAAAGGCGAAAGTCAAACGCACAATGCATAAACAAAATTGCTAAAAATTCATGTGACAAAGATTTTGCTTTCTGATATTTCAATTTGTTATATTTCTGGGGCATGATTCTCGGTTTATAATATCAAATGATCAAATAACACGCAACTCTTTTGCCATGGAAAGCACTAAAATATTATGGATTAACTTTCCGAAAAGGTTTGGAGAACTTTTCTCCTTTCATTCTTTTTTATTTAGAACATGTCGATTGATAGAAATAAAATCTGCTTAATGTTTAATTAAATTCTATCGTAATTTCAGGAATTGCCCCTGCGAGTTATTTCTCTACAGGTAATCCGTACCATGGACTGGGCAGTCATCTTTCATCTCAAACAAGCCCTCAGGCAACCCAACAGGTATTCTTTTAGAATGTAAAACAATCCATGAATCGATGCTTGTGCTTACTTTTATTTTATCATTTATGAAACAAAATTATTGCTTCCCACCATAATTGAAGTGATTGAAAATTTCGCAATTATAAATTGAATTAATTAGATGAAATTTCCCAAACCTTATTTGATGTTACGAAATTTACCAATCACAATCAATTTAATTCTTTTATTTAACTTTGTGATGGTTAGAATTGAAATTATTCTTTAAAAACATTATGACAGCTTCCATTTTGGTGATTTCATCTCACTATCAGAATTTATTTTATCATGTATCTAATTTATTTCATTAAACTATTTTTATTGCATTAAAATTTGTTTATTTAAGTTTTTTTTATGTAACTTTCGATATGAAGAGAAGCAGTGAGTGATTCCATTTAGATATTTTTGTGAGCAGTTGACAACAATGATACTCTTTAGAGAATTTATTTAATAATGCTAGATAGCAGTTCCATTTCGCCAAATATTATTTTTTGGATAATTGAAGTGTAACAAAATAAATAGATAAATATAAAAAAAATCGACGTTTCTTTTTCTCCCATTCCCGAGTGAACTTCATTGAGATAATTTTTTATCCATTTAGTTATTTATTTATCTTTAATTCATGTTTCAATATCCGGTCTAACAATTATGTTTATTTAGTTTAGTTTCAAGAAAATAAAAATAAAAAATGAAACTGTTGACACAATCCATATGTTGATAATTATTTAAGTCTCACACTCTCCGGAACTTTCATTACGTGGAAATGTCAACAGAAATAAGCATTTCAAGTGAAAGGTACTTGTGAGTGACGATCACAAATATTAATTGTCATCAATCAGCTGGAAAATATTTTCTCACACCCTTTCTCATTCCATAATCGTCCAACCAACCGACGACCCTCCAATTCGACATTCATAAAATTTCTCGCCAGCTACGACGGTTGTTAAAAGTGTTTTTAAAATTTTTGTAAACATAAATTAAGCAATTGTTAGTGATAATAACAGGCTTTCAACAGTAGCATACAAAAAAAGAGAGAAAATAAATGCGAGAAGTCCATTACAATCATCTTGAGACATTGGCATGAAATCGGAGGCCAAAAGCCAGTAGCACTATGGATACAAAAGAATTGTGAAAGAAAAAAACAGAAACTTACAATAAAAGTGCCTCCAGACTTCTTCTATTTTTGATTGTTCACGAAAAGAGAAGAAAAAAAATAATTATAATGAGAAAAGGTGGAAAAAAGTTTGAATGAAAACATAATTACAGTAGGAGTCAGGGATGTCGGGGGGACCGTTTACTGTCGCTTGAGAATTTAAAGAAATTATTTAAGCGAAGTTATGTTTACACGTTTCGAATTTCCAACAAATAATTTTAGAGAAAGAGTTAAAAGATAATCGAAATGTTTCGTCTTTTAATTTTATTGATGACTTTGATTGAGATCAAGGTCAGGATAAAACGTGATCAAATTAAATGAATTAAATTTCTCCAACTTCCCTGATGATTACTCATTTCCAATATTTAATTTTCATCAAGGCAAACGATCAGTAAAATGTATAATTACGATAATTTATTTATATGTTTTTCACAACATCATCCTCGCCATCATTTACTCGATTCGGAATCTTTCATTCTTTTTGTTTCTCTTCCTTTTTTTCAATTCTTTCTTGGATATCTACGATTTTGTCTTGCGAGGTTCTCTGTTTTTCATTAGTTTACTTTTGCTTCCACACTTCTGTAGAATCATTATAAACAATTATCTCATCAAATTTTGAACACTTTTCGACAACTTTTTACTTCCATCTAGGTAGATGTTTTTATTATTATTCCTTCTCCCTTGCTTTGGTTTCACAAATATAAATCTTAAACGGGCTTTTATGGGCATCACATAGGAAAACCAAGCGTGTGAAGTGTTTAATCGTTGTTTCTGACTTGCTTCTGTTAAATAATGAAGGCGTTGAACATTTGTAATAGGACGTCAATTAGATTCTCTCGATCTTCGATTAAAGGTGACGACGATGGTTCAATTAAATTTCTAAGTAAGTTGGAACAGAATCGAATGGTCTTAAAAATCGTAAATTTTATGGGATTAACAAGTCAATTATGTTTCTTAACACTACAAATTGAACCATTTCGAATTAATTTGTAGCAATCAGAGCTTGAAATTGCGTAACATTTCAAATTAAGAATTGTTAAGGTTTCTTCATCTGAATTCCTTCCTTCATTTATTTAATGAGAAAAACGAACATCGTCGAACAGTATTTTTAATTAAATTATTCAAAGACTTTATAATAAAAATAAATAATAATTGAAAGCTGTCAAAACTTCACCATAACACAACACGTAAATTTCCAATGAAACAAAAACGTGAAATTACTTTCGATGACTCTCGAGTTTGGATCTTTTTTTTGTCTGAGACTCATAAGTAGATTTGTGGAGTCAGCCCAATTGAGAGAACATCAAGCGATGGGTTTCATTATTTTAAATTATAGACACGCCATAATGATAGAACAATTTAGACACTTTATTTGAAATTCGTGGCATTAACATTCTCACCTGGGACGACTTCAGAAGGATGGTTGGATGGACTTCATAAATTATCTATCGACAAAACACTTTGATTAATTTGAACCTTTCGATTGATTCGATTGAATAATTGACGGATCTTTATAAATACCTTCATACGTACGTATTTATGAAATTCCAAAGGAGAAAAAAAGTAATCAGAAAAGGAAAAGCGGATAGAAATGCGGATAAGTACGCAATGAAGTGTTCTTCGACATTCAAGATCTAAATACTTAACGAGTCTTCATTCACTAAAAGGTCTCATTGTTGCTAATCTTATTAATGGTTTCGACTGACCCATGGTGTTGTCGTCTATAATAAATTAATGGATCTGCGCGAGACATGTGTAGCTTTTCAGCTTCATCTCAATGACATAGAGCCTTTTGTTTGTCATGTTAATTTACGTCTTTTGAAGCATTGTATGAATTGTTGATCCATTCCGTGGTGGAAAAGAACAGAGTATAAATGTTTCATGTGCTTCATCGCTTTGGAGTTGCTTGCATTGACTCTTTTGTTAACTTTTTTTTCTTCATATTTTTGAAAGGAACTCGTTAAGACTCTTCTTTGTTTATGTGTCATCTTTTATTCCATTTTTTTATTATTATTGTTTCTTTCTTTTCACGAAGCTGATCTTATTTTATTTTATATATTTTTTTTTTGGTTTTGGTTTTGGTTTTGCTCTTTCTTGTTCTCATGTTAAATGTTCACATTTGTACTTATCATTCAAAAAACAAGTTCGAAATATTTTCACTTTCAATCGAGACGAATAAAAATAAGTCAATTGAGCTAAAATTAACATTTTCAGATGGACGTATCGAAGTTTGCACTTGATCGTAATGCTTATTTGAACACAGCCGCTGCTATTTATGAATCAACAAAGCAGCAAGTGTCATCCAACTACAGTGCGTATTTGGATCCATCTGTTCTCACCAAGGCATATTTTGATTCAAAAATGTATTCCGATCGTGCGACTGCATCAAACTATGCGTTTGATATTTCAAAAATTTATGGTAATCAAGGTGGCAATCAGCAAGAAATGAATCAAGATCGCGACACAACGCCACAGCTTGATGATAATAAAAATATAAATGACGGTAGTCACATGGATTTTAATGGAAATGGTGCACAAAGTTACCAATCATTTAATCAACAGCCCATCAAATTTGAAAGCGAACAAACTGTACAACAGACACCAACTGCTGGAGGTGGTGGGGGAGGTGACTATCGGCGTCCTTTAACAGTTATTTTTTAAAAGCAAAACACATCTTTAAACGAATTTTCATCCATGCACTCATGCAAAAAGAAGTAAAAAATATTTTAAAAAAGATTTTTCAATAAGAAAAAGAAAATTTGGCATAAAAATTTGATTCTTTAGACATTTGGTGGCAAATCAAAAACGTAAATATTAGGTGGCTAACTAAATCTCGTAGTTGAAATAAGTCATAAATAATTAGAAGTTGAGTTAAATTGAAAGAATGGAAACCATTTGAAATTGTGGATAAATTCATGAATTGGATGACAGAAGTCACTTTTAACTTAACGTAAATTGTTGGGTCGGAATTTTTACATTTAAAGAAGTCGTAAAGTTTGTTAAGCAAAGAATTTAAAGTTCTTGTCTGTCCTAAATCTTCTTAATTTTCTTTTGTAATCTTAGGATATGAGAAAAATGCTAAAAGAATCTTTTTTCTAGGAATTCCTGTTTTAAAGACAGGCACAGGACCACAGACAAGACCATTTTCTCGTTATCATCACAGTGACAACATGAGAGATTCCTATGACACTTTAAGAAATGGACTGTGACTGTGATATGATATCTGCAGTCGTTTTAATGACAACGAGCCGATTGAATGAACTTTTTAAAAGGAAAACATTAAAAATATTAATTAATTCTTAATGGATTTTAACTTGTCAAATTAACTTGAATTGTTTTGTTTCGGTGTAGCAATTAAACGTCATAGAAATCATGATCAGTTCAGAGTTCAAACCAACAACATAATGTGCAATTAAATTTATTTTGACTTCTAAACGATTAATTGAATAAAATATTTTAATGTTTCTTAAATCTAATTCATGAAAATGTTCCCAACATTTTATTAAAATCCGAAATGTCATGAAAAATTGGAAACTTAAAAAGAAAAGTCTTAAAGTGTCGATAGAATATGTAAAATAAATTAAAATAAAAATAAAGTAAAATATCTTAGATGTAAAAAAAATTAATTTTTATTCATTTTCACTCCTTGGTTTTCCAGACATTTTCAATTATTATGTTAAGTCAATATTAAGGTAAGTCAAACAATATTAAACAGTTTATTTGTTGATTATGATTTCAAATATTTTACGAATAAAAAAGAAATAAAATTAAAATTGATTTCGATTGAGAGACAAAGCATCACGCCACATATAACTTCTAAGATTCCAAAGTGCGTCGACGACTTCATCTGGTTTTCCTTTTCCCCTTTCACCAAGCCAATGCGTTGGCAATCGCGATGTATCAGTTCCTAGAGATTCTCTCGTCGCCTTCATTGTCTTTGTCCATTGACCGACATGAGGTGAGTTGTTTTGTAAGCCTTCAATGTATCTGATGTAAGCTTCCGAATGTAAAACACGTTGAGGTCGTGGTGGAACAGTCACAAACAAAGGTTCAACTGGAGTTGACACATAACTGATAACATTCTGCTGATGTTGCATTGTTTGATGGTTGATGAAATTTGTTTGTGGACTTCCAGTTGAAATTGGAGTTGTTATGACCTGCTGAGGCGCAGCTTGATGATGATAAATAATTTGCTGCTGCTGTTGATGATGATGATTTTGATTTTGTCCCGAAGTTGTTGTATGCAAATGCTTTCTCGTGCTTGCAATGTAATTCTTTCCACGATCTTGAGGTTGAACAATCTTTCCCGGAGCTTTAACAACGTGAACTTCACGAACATGTTTCACCAGCCGTTGAATATTCGGCAATGGTGGTTGATTACGTTTTGCACGAATACAATTTCGCCATAAACAGTGAAACACGATTGGTTCACTTTGTCCCGCTGACAACTGATTGAAATAACGTTGAACACAACCAACACCTTCAGCAACTGCGTGCTCCAAAGCATCGCCTGGATCTTCAAACTGATAATCACACTTATCCCAACCACATTCGAAAACCTAAACGAAAATTAAAATAAATTAAATTTCATTCTTCTTTTTATGCCAAGTAAATTTGATTTAAAAAAACCCATAAAATGAATGCAATGAAGATACAGTGAACTGACCTTAAATGTCAGTAATTGAGAGTTCACTGTATCTGCTAATGGATCACAGAAGAATTACAATGAAAAGAAATTCTGGATCCTCCAACGGTTAAGGACAAAAAATAAAATTGTAAGAAAAATGTCCCAAAAACATAAAATGAATTTCATACTTGATTGAGAACAAACTCATGTTGTTGTGATAGTTGATTAGGCGTTAAGATGAGAGATGATGAGCTCATGTTAGGACTATCTTTCCCAGCATTGCCATTGAGCGCCATGTCTTCAGCATATTTCGAAGCATTCTGCTCATTGATTGCTGAAGCTCTATCTTCCCATTGGCGTCGTTCAACTGTTGGTAATGCTCGCCATTCATCACCAATCATTCGGGAAATGTCACCAAATTTGCATTCGGGATTCTCCAAAACTTTTGCTTTACGAACTTCACTTGAATATAAAATGTAACCGGTGATGACTTTCTTTCCACTCTTTCCACCAGTGAATGCTGCTGGCCGTTTCGAGGTCGATACCGGTGTCACTAATTGAGTTGGAATTGGTGATGATGTATTGACACCAAAACCATCTGCTGATCCTATGTCAGTGTCCATTGAATCTTCAGTCAATCCAAGAACGTCGTTGCTGTTGGTACCACCATGTGCTTCCAGCTTCAAGTGCTCCTGTGAAATGGTTACGAACGCAATTTTTCAGAAAATGTTTTCATGATTTGTCTTTTGTTCTATTTACATTTCATTGTTAAATTAAATTAAAAAACAACAAGCCAAAAGAAAAATTCAATTGCGACCATGCCAAGTAAAGATAGTGACATAGATGGGCAAGGAACGTCTTGCGCTACTTTGGAGGAATCTAGGTTCCACCAGCGCAAAAAAATTGGAGGATGCAGTACTTCCACGTAGCGCAAAAAAAATTGGAGGATGTGATACTACTGGTAGCGCAAACGGTTCCTGCGGTACTTTTTCGCGCTACTTGTTTCTACTAAGTACCACAAGCGCGAAGCGCAATTGGTTGCGAAGGAACCATTTTGCGCTACTAAAATGGTATCACTTCCCCCAACGTTTGCGCTATGTGGACGTATCACAAATACTGCATTTTTTGCGCTACGTGGAAGTACTGCAAAAAAATGGGTACGCAAGACGTTTTTTGCAGTAAAGTACCAGTACCAGCGCAAGACATGCCCATCTATGGATAGTGAAGGAAAATAAAGTAATTAAGTTGCAAGATACCTTTTTCCATTTCCTCTTCTTATAAGTAGCAGAAAAGAAATTAATTAAAAAGAATAAAATTGTTAAATTTCAAGATTTGATTGTCATTATTTTACATTGACTATCTACATTCATGCAATAAAATTAACCGTTAAAGGACCATTTAAAAAAATATTAAGTATGGGGCTTGGAACTTTGTCATCTTAATGATAACAAAAATGCCAAGGCCTCCGATAGAAATGATAAGAAGCAAACATATTAACTAAAATTTAAAGAAAAACATCACTTACAACATCTGAAAGCGCACCAGACTTGACGTCTACTGCCTCATTCTTCAATACCTACAAAAATCAAACATTCAAACGTGTTCAAAGCTTTTCTAAAGTGCAACACAACCATTTTCAACTTACTTTTTGTACACTTATCGGACGACGGAAGTAGAAAATCTCATCAAGTGTCACAGCTTGACTATATGTAAATTTCTTCAGTCCACCAGGCGACTGCATCTTCTTGATTTGCTTATTGAATTCATCATAGATTGACTCACATAGATAAGTGTCAGCTTCTGGAATTTCTGTTGGTCTTTGCGTTGTGTAATCGCCATACTCCAGAACGCAACATCTTCCTAAGATTCCAACTGTCGGCGTTGTTTCCTGCACCGTTGAAAGAAAAACTTCTTGTCGATATTGTAATCTGTTGAGAAGCAAAGCTTGTGGAAGCTCTTGAGGCGTCAACAGCCAAGGACCACGGAAAAATGATTTTCCATCTTTTGTTTCCCAAATCGAATTAATTTGTGCAATTGCTTGCTTTCCAGATTCAGTAGCAACATAAACGTAGTCACCAGTCTTCACAATCCCACTACAAATTGTTGTGAATTGTTCGTAATAAGTATTCGACTCATCACTTCCTTCCACAGACACCACGACATTCGGTTTGTCTTTTTCAATCAATGCGAGATCAACTTCGTCAACAGGAAGTTCAAGCTTCAAAGGATCAACTGGACGATCTTTAAAAACTGACTGAACTCTCTTTGGCTCCAAAGGATTCTCACGTAACATAACTTTGGTTCCAGTTTGGAATGGCCAAGCTTTAATCTTCTTAAAGGAGCGAGCTCTTGAATTATAACGAAACTCACACACATAAACGTCTTTATCTGCATAACTTTCAGGTTTTAATTTGAAATAATCTTTCACACTCATAACGAAACATTTCTGTTGAAGTTCCTTTAATGGAACTGTCTGATGTTGATCGCTTTTAAAAACTTCTTGTTCAAGAAACTTTCTTGTTGTTAAATGATAAGTTTGATAGGGACGTAAATAAATATTTCCGTAGCAAAGCTTTTCACCTTCCGGACTTGTGAAGAGTCTCTCAATGTATAAAATTCCAGGAGTTGTATCATCAGACAATGAATAATAAACAAAGTCGCCTGGTGTAAAAACTTTTCCATTGTCAATTGACATGCTTTCACTTTGTGCTGGTGCAACAACATTTGTCTCAACTTCCGGTTCCGGTTCTTCTTCTTGCAATATTTTTGTTTGTCTCATGTTTTCAACTGCTGCGCTAAGATGAACGGCCGTAAATGTTAATGCCGGTGAACTTAAAACTTCTCCATTTTTACAAAGTTCGTCACGTTTCTTGATAAAAAACGATTGCATTTCGATTGAATCTTCAAAAACTTGCGAATCAGTTCTTGATAGTCGACGAGCTCGTTCGAAACATGCAAAAATGTCTTCTTGAAAAACATCAAGTCGCTTGTAAATTCCTTTGTCAAGTCTTCGTTTAATGAGATCGAGTGAGATTGCTCGCTGTTTGACGCCTTCAATTTCATCGTATTCTGGAAGTTCAGCCATTGAATCTGAGTAACAGCGCCCTTCTTCATCTTGGCAGTTGTAAACTGTCGTGAACAGTTGCATCAACAGATCAACCACCACTTGTGGAACATCAGGAACATTCTCGTCTTCCATTCTTAATGCTTGCTTCGTTTGGATGCAAACTTGTTGCAATATCAAAGCATCTTTATAAATTTGCGAATCAGGCTCATTGTATTTGCAAGCATTCTCAAACATCAGCATAAGATCAGCTGACAACTCATCGACTGTATCGTATTGTTGACTTTTCAACTTCAAACCAATTTTCTCCAAATCAATCGGCTTCGAAATGATTTCATAATAGTCAGGATAATCCTAGAAATTTAAAGTTTTAATCAGAATTGAACTATTTTGTTGGTGAAAAAAAATCTGCAAGGAATTCTCTAAGTAATGAAATTTTCCTACTAAGAACTTTTCTATTCTTATAAGAAAATTCATTGTGGAGAATTCTCTGAAAATAAAACAGAAGCAACAAATAAAAGTTCATGCAACTAAGCAAACTACTTTAACCATTTACCTTATTCTTCACTCCACAATCCACATGAAATTTTATTTAACATAATTTTATTGAGTATCATCGAATATTATCAATGAAAGAAAAAATTGAAAAGAATTTTCATTCGTCGAGCAAAAGAGAAAAGAACTTTGATGATTATTCGATTCATTTGTGGTTGCGGTGAAATTTTGAGGTGAATTTGTTAATAATGTTTTTGATGTGGGAAATCCAAAGATTATCAAGCGATTTTTGTTGCATTAATCAATAGAATTGTTTAAATCACTTGCAATTAATGGACATTCCCATCACATTTAACCAAATTATTTAGATCGAAACAAAAGCTGATTTCTTTCATGAATTAACTTCAAATGTTATTCAAAGTCAATGATAATCTAATAAAATGTTAATGATAAGTAAAACTTACCATTTTACTTGGAAGTTTCATGAAGATTGTAGCAACTTGTCGATTAGATTTCGGATCTTTGTAATCACGAATTGTCTCAAACAGTTGTCTCAATTTTCCATCTAAAATTGCATGCGCCTTCTTCCCTTGAGCTTTCAATCTAAAAAATTTAATAAAAGAATTAATTTATTGAATTAATTAATTAAGAAAATTATTAATTACAGTTTAGGCCGTCGATCAGTGACACCGGACAATTCCTTAAGTTTTGTGTTCAAAACTTTTTCCAAACGATTAGCATCGTCATAAATCATCGAATTTTCTTCGTTATATTTCCGGCAATTGCTGAACATCAATCGATAATCGCCTACAATGTCATCAACGGTTCCATAACGATCATTCTCAATATTCTTTTCAATTGTGTTCATGTCAATTGGATGTTGAATTATTTGATAATAGTCCGGATAAAGTTTCTTTGAAGGTTTCTCCAAGAAAGGTTCCATTGGTTGTCGATCGTCAATTGTATAGTCAAGAAGGTATTTGTGGATCGTCATAAGTTTCTTCTTAAGAATCGGATTGTTTGGAAATCGATAATATTTAGCTCCAACTGGTGTAACAGTTGTCGGAGTTACTATCGGAGCAGGCGAAACAGATGGCAATGGATGAATGCGGGGACGACCTTTCTTCTTCTTTTCTCCACCAGTTGATGTAGCTGGTGATGGATAAACATTCGACGAGTCAGTGTCTTCAGTGTCGTCATCTTCTAAGCCATCATCGACGAGCTTCTGATTCAAAATCTTTTGCATTTTGCTTGCATCTTTGTAAAGCTTTGAAGATGTTGGATTCGCCTTCTTCGCATTGTCAATCATTTGATAAAGATCAGCTGACAGTTCTGTGACATTTGCATATTCATTCTTTCTCAACTTTTTTTGAACCATCGACATTGAAATTGGCTTCTTGATGAGCGTGTAATATTCCGGATGGAATCGACGATTCGGCAATTTCCACAACGATTCGCCTAATGGCGTTCCTCCTAAAGATCCATCTGTCAGTTAGTTGTTTATCGTAAAAATCAACATCGACACATAAACATATTCAGGACAAAAATGAATTTGTGATGGGAGAAAACAAAACGAAGAAAACAAATCATGAAGTGATTCAAATAATAAATGAAATCATAAACAACAACGAAACAAGCGAAAAGTTTTCACTCACCTGAACTGGATTGATTGTAAAGATTGTCGAAGAGTTGCCAAATTGGCCCACTTGTTGTCTCATCATCGAGATCGTCCAACTCTTCTTCAGATGTTTCAAGTTCTTCTTTGAGAGCAGCACAAGCTGCGCTATGAATGATGGGACGTCCTCGACCACGAGATGGTCGCTTATATTTACCACTTTCGATCTCAAGTTTTCTTTGCATAAAAATTCTCTTCAAAGTTTTTGCATCTTTGTAAATTTGACTTCCAGGTTCATTGAAAATTTGTGCATTCTTAACCATTTGCAATAAATCTTTTTCCATTTCATTAAGACTTGTATAAGCGTTGGTTTGGATTTTATTTGCGATGAATTTTAAATCGATTGGATGTTCAATGACTGCGTAATATTCTGGGTAATGTTTCTTTGACGGAAGTAATTGAAACATTGTATGCAAAGAACGATCATCAAGTGGGTCAACTGCTGTCATTACAGCTGCAAAAAGTTCCTCATAAGGATCGAATTCGTTGTTCTCTGAAGAATTTTCAGATGTTTGATCATCATCAACTGTAGTGGACTTTCGAGCCCTACCAATGCCTCGAGTTTGTCGTGGCTTCAGCTCAGCCGATAACGATGCTGATGAAGGATCTTCAGTAAGACTTTCAAGAATTTTTGCTTTGTTTGCATTGAAAACTTCCCAAAGCGTACACGCATCGTCATACTCATCACTTTCAGGTTTATAGAACGCTTTAGCGTTATTTACTAGCAGTTCAATGTCACTTGAAAGCTCTGATAGATCCTCGTATGAATCAGTTTTCAACTTCTGCTGGACTCTGAGTAAATCAATCGGATTTGTTACAATTTCATAGTAACTTGGCTCCTGTCGACGTTTCGGAGCTCGTATAAATGTATCGCATAACATTGTTCCATCTTCTTTTTTGATATTTCTTATTGAATCGTATAATTGTTGACACAATTCCATCTAAAAACAACAACAAAATTGCTTCGATACTGTCAAAGAACCTCAAAAATCTTACAGGATCCAATTTTTTGCGTTTTCTCACTGTCGGTGTCACAGTAAACTGCTCTGAATCATCAGAGTCATCAGTTTCAATGTCTGAAGAAGTTCTTCGTCGCTTATTCATCTAAAAAAGCAAAAATACGCAACATTGAAATCTTTGGCTTGGGTTAATAAATAAAACTTACATTTCACTATAAAATCTGCGTTTTTTCTGGAATATTCGGTTTATTTTCAATAATTTTGATGTTCAATGAACTTTTTATGTGTTTTTGAATAACATAGCTATTTTAATTCGCTTTTAATATTAATAAATTATCTCAATTTCGGCTATGTAAAATCTGTAGATTTAAGTAGATCATTTACTCACCAATACTTCTACACATTTAAAATAAGTTCTACTTTTTCGTGTCGTACGAGTAGACATTTTTAGTTCAATTTTCCCACCAACAGATGGTGTTTAGAACTGTAAACAAAAAATCAGCTGTTCGTGGTTGCTAAGCAACACAAACAATAATTTGAATACATACATGTAGGTTTGTTTATTTCATGCTTTTCAAAATCATGTTTACATTGTAACTTTATCAAACATTCAATGAAATTTAAAGGAATTGCATTTAAAGTAAACCTCTTGCCGTTACATTATAAGGCTTCATACATTTTTCTAATAATCCTGAAATTAATGGATAAACGGGATCATATTGCGTCAAATTTTTCTTTCTTATGATTGTACGATATTTTTGTAATGCACCAGCAATCAATTCTCATCGCTCCCTTTCCTTGTGTTCGGCAAGCCATTGGATTAGTTTTTCATCTGACCAACCAGCAGCTTTATGTGGCGACATTAAATCATCAGCGGCATGACCAAATAACATAAAAAGTATAATGAATGAAGGAATAAGTGTTGTTTCTGTCGCAGCTAAATTTTCTGCACTCTCAATAATAAGTGTAGACATCGACCTCAATGTTCTGTAGCTATTTCCCAACAATGATAAATCCCCAACAATTCCTTGAATAATACTTTCCAATTGCGAACAGTCCGATTTGATGCGTTGTCTTCCTTTTGTTGATATTGGACGTAAAATTGAAATATTTTGAACAAAACGATCGATAATCTTAATGCTCAACTCTTTTGCACAACTATTCACGGCAGGTTTGTCATTAAATTGACTCATGTGTGTTGTCCACGAACGATTGAGGAAATCTTGAAGTTCTCTCATGTACAACGATGATGTAGCGACGTTGATGTTATCAGTGTTAATTGATGGTTCACGAATCATACTCAAAAAAATTATGCTGATTGTTGACATCATTTGTGAAGTTAAATGATGAAGAATTGACAAAGTAATGTTCCTTCCATCATCAAGATTTCTCTTGATCTTTTCATAAGCTTGCTTATTTTTCTTTTGAAGATCAAGATTCATCAGCATCTGCTCAACAACAACCTGATGATGGTAAATCAAGTTTGAATAGTTGATATTTATGATTTGAGCTGAATTTGGAATACTCAAAACTTGTTCAGCATCAGTTCCATGCCTTAAATTGCCTTTGACCTTAGTCCAAAAATCTTGATTACAAGCACAGAAAACGCTTATGACAGAGTTAAGTAAATCTTCATCAATCATACTGACTGTCAATTCCGATGCAGCATTGCGGATCATTTGGTCAACTACCTCATCAGTTATATTTTCATTTGAGATTTTGAGATTTGAAGCACATTTCTCAATGTAACCAGAAGTCATCGATCCAAAGATATTTTTACTCAACTCCATTTCCTTACTTAATTTCTCTTGAAGATTGTTAAAGTAAGAAAGTAATTTAGGCAAGTTTTGCTGAAGATTTTGCAGAACATGAACCGGCGATTCTTCAAATGAAGTTTTAAGCAATTCAGTTAAAGCTTTCGAAAATTTGAGAAGAAAATCTCTGCTTGGATTATCTGCAATGTATCCACTTGTTACTTTCTTCAAGCAGCGATGAATTGCCATTGCTTGTTCACAATAAGAATAGAGTTCATCAGTGAAAAGCCATTCAAGTGCAGTTAAAAGTTTATTTCGAAAGTTCATTGACGTTGTCAAAGTTGGAACTTTTCCAGGAACTTTTGGATTACCTTTCAATGAAGTCGGTGATCCTTTAATGCTCGTTTTCTGAAGTGTTGCAACATCAGCTCCATTAAAGCATTGTTTTATGGCTTGTCTTATATCATTGATGTAACTTTCGATTTGATTGTTAAGAAATGTTTCCAGCATATTCATATTGCGATATATTTCTAAGCTCCTGATAATTGCATCTTCTTTATTTTCTTGAATTCCATTAGAGAGATCTCGGTTAGCAATGTGAAGCAATCGTTGCTTGCTATTTATTGCTGAAGCACGTTCATCAATAAGAATATCAATTTTTAACAAATCTTTATCTTGAACAAGTGAATCAAGCTCTAAAATAATCGTCGCTTGTTTATTCAACTCTTTCATCTCTTTTAGTTTTCGATGAAGTTGAAGAAACCGACTGATTTTTCTCAATAATTGTGTCGTGTTGTGCAGTCTTTCCAACACTTTTATTTGGCTCTCTAACTGATCATAAGGAACATAGATTTGCTTTTTAAGATGATCAAGACTCGATTGAAGCTCCAGAAGATCAGAATCAAGTGATTCTAATGCAACCATTAATCTAATAAATGATTCAAAATTAAAATTATTATTTTCTTTCTTAAATTACTTTCGTTCTCACTTTGACGCATTACTGGAATGTTTGATTAATGTCGGATAATCACTTCGAATCTTTTGTTTTAATTCAGCTGATATTAAATCGAGACCATCTGTGAGCTTCTTAATTTGCTCAGGAAATGATAAATTGTTGTTAATATTTTCCGACTTTTCATTCGTCAAAAAGTTTTTCAAGAATTCTAAAAATATTCATCAAGTTTTATCGGTTTTAATATTAATTTTATTGATTTACCATCATTTTCAATTTTCTCAAAGACTGTAGGTTGCACCATTTTGGTTTTTCTTTTTTCTATCAATTAAAAGAAATACTTAGAAAACCTCTTTTAAATGTTTTGTGATTTATTCGTGGCAAAAAACAATAACAAGGGGCTTGAAACTACAGTTGAAATAAATATGAAAAATTTTGAATTCAATACATCCGTTAAGGAAATTGAAATATTTTATAATTAGAAAGTATTAGGTAGGTATGTTCTCTGAAAGGTCATCAACGTCATTTGTTTTAAAATGATCGAAAACTGAAATAATTAAACCCAACTAAACAATGAAATGAAAACAAATATCAAATTATATCCTTATTTGCATATGTTTCACTTCAACAACTTAACTAATATGTACATATGTTAAGATTACTACACTCAAGATTAGGTATACCTACATATCATTGAAAAAATGTACGAGCATCTCTATGAGTATTGTTACGAAATTATCATTGTAGTTGAAAGTTATAAGAGAAAATATTAAACACAAACCGGCACAAAAGCAGAGATTGTGAAATAATTTTGGCATATCAAATCTCATTTTTGCATAAATTCAAGTAGAAACTCCCAATATCAAAAATACATATTTCAAATAAGTTTGACAAGGTATAAAATTCTATTAGTGATCAAACACAGTAAAACAATAGTCAAACATTTATAAGAACTTAATACCTAATTATCTTTATTATTTTGTGAGCTCATAAAACTGAAAATTTTTATCTTCGATCCAAATTCCGAGAACATAATCTTATCTATTCATTTCTTGTTCACTCCTAATTTTAGATTGAAGTTTATTTTATTGTGTCGATATTTCAAACGCAAAAATGTTGCCTTACAAATCAACAACAGTGAACAATTTTGATGAATATTTAATTACATTTCTTAACAAGGCAGACAACAGAATCGCTCAACTATTGGAAAGATCAAAAAAAATGCGAAATGGTGGTGAAAAAGTTCAAAAGGTGAAGGCTGATCTAGAAGATCGTTTCCCAGGAGCAAAAATTTATTTTTATGGAACGAGATTCATGCAACTTGGACACGACAAAAGTCATTTGAACGCTTTCATGGAATTGGGTAAGTTAATCATTTTTCGTTTGATATGAGATGGTGAAATTTTGAAGTTCTTTCATGATTTAGAAAATTCATATTGGTTCACTCAGAAGCCCGAAAAGATTGAAAAATTGATGGAAGAAGTTCAACAATACTTCAAATCAGAATTGGAAAAGAACAAAATTAGCGAGAAACAAAAGGATAAGAATAAACTTAGCGTGAAGCAAGAGGAAATCATGCCATCTGAATTATGGACTAAACCCTTAAATCTTTTAAAAACTCCCGTCCCAACTGTTCGTGTTACATTACGAAAAAATTTGCAATTTGATCTAACATTCTCAAGTGGCTTGGGCGTTGAAAATACAAAACTTATTCATCATATGTTTTCTCTTCAACCGGAAGCTTTCAAGATTTATCACTTCGCTCGTATTTGGATTCATATCGAAGAATTTAGATTCAAGCGATACGTCGTTGCTTTGTTAGTTCTGTTCTTCTTGCAAAAGCATAAATTTATGCCTTCAGTTGTGATGATGCAAGAGAATGTGGAAAAAAATTGTATTGGACGTAAGTTGAGAACATTAACGTAAACGTAAGTTGAATGATTATTAAATCTCTTGTTACAGCTTGGAATGTTGCATTTAATAAACAAAAAGGAATTAAGGATTATGGATTGGAAAGTATAACCGATTACAAAGAACACTTCGTTGATTTCTTCGATTTCTATTCAACATTTGATTTCCGGAAAAATGTTATTTGTCCCTATCTTGGTCGTGAAGTTCCAATCAAGTCATATCCCACAAAAGAACCAGAATTGAATAATTACGCTGAAGATATCAAAAACTTCTTATTTGCTGATGTGAACATTTCAGAGCCTTTCAATTTGAACTTCAATGTTGCTTACAATGTCGGAAAAAAGCGATTACAAAAATTTATTCCGTTCTGTGCGCATGCAGTCAATTTATTAGAAAATTATTAATAAATTGAATTTGCTGTTCCATTGAATTGTTAAATAAATAAAACATTTTCATGCAGAATATTTTTTAAAGTTAGTTGAAATAGTATTATCAAATTCTTAGCATTTGTGAGATCCTGATGATGGCTAATTTTGTCACATCGATGGAAAAAAATCTGAGGATAAATATTTTCTTATTGTATGAAGACCTTAATTCGTTTCACATTAACATCAAATTGACATCAACGTATCAATTTTATGTGCTAAAATTTTTTGCCTAAATCTTTCTGACAATAAAATGTGCCAAATGGATAATCTTATCCTCAATTATAAATTTTGTTTTATTATTGGTAATTAAATTAGCAAAACCATAAGGAAGCAAAGTTCAATAAGCAAACGAAATGCGGAATCCAGACTGAAGTGCTGTCCTTGATCTAATAACATCATCNGAATATCTATCTAATTAAATAAATAGCGATGTAAGCTTAGCATTCATTAAAATGGAATAAAAGTTTAAGCTGTCATAGCAATTGCAATCATCATCATCATCATCAGAGTAGGGAGTGCACGACTGTACACTAAAGCGATTAAGAATACAGGAATATAAATTCCAACTTGTTTCGCTCCCTTTGTCTCATCACCTGAATGATGAAGGTTCCACTTTCAGTAGCGTTCCACAGGATTGTATATTCCTGAATACTCTTCATTGTTCATATTTGACAAATTTATATTTTTATCAAATTTGATACAAAGAGACATTTCAGTTTATTATATCCTAGTGAAAAATTCCACTTTAAATGAAACAGGGGCGAAGTATCTAAACTTCTGAAAACCTCAGCGCAAGTGACCACCACCGAGAATGGAACCAGGATCGTACCGATTAGTGAATCGATACGAATTCTGATACAAATCCGATGGCACAGACACTTAGGCCAATGAAGCAAATTTGCCCCCCTTTTTTTTAAAGTTAGTTGAAATAGTATTAACAAATTCTTAGCATTTGTGAGATCCTGATGATGGCTAATTTTGTCACATCGATGGAAAAAAATCTGAGGATAAATATTTTCTTATTGTATGAAGACCTTAATTCACATTAACATCAAATTGACATCAACGTATCAATTTTATGTACTAAAATTTTTTGCTGACAATAAAATGTGCGAAATGGATAATCTTATCCTCAATTATAAATTTTGTTTTATTATTGGTAATTAAATTAGCAAAACCATAAGGAAGCAAAGTTCAATAAGCAAACGAAATGCGGAATCCAGACTGAAGTGCTGTCCTTGATCTAATAACATCATCTTTATTACACAATGTTCATTATTCAATATTAAACAATATCAAGCAATTTTCTATTATAAAAGTTCTATTATTTTTTACAAAAGAAAAACAAGTCTGAAATTGACTTAATAAATTATACCTATACATAAATAAATGTTAAAGGGGACAGCGAAACAGACGTCAGTAACATAAGTTTGAACTTATTAAATATAAAAAGCATGCGTTTCAAACATTTTAATCCATTTCTACTGCTAGTTTCGTTGATTCAAGTTCGCGTTGCTATTGTTTTCAGTATTTTTCTCAGTGAGAATAAATTTTTTTATTAACTCATCTTAAAATATTAATAATATTGTTATTTGTCTAAATGATGTCAGAATTGAGGTAATTAAAGAAAAAAACATAAGTGAAGCGTAAAATTTTAATTAAAAATCAAATAAATTAAAAATTAACAGGGAAAGAAAAAGTGAAAATAAACAACGCTATAATGTTGACGAACGAGATGTGCAATATTTTTCAGCATTCGCTAATACTTGGTGGGATGATACAGGAGAACTTAAAGTGTTGAGAGAGATGAACCAAGTGAGAGTTCCTTTTATTCGAAATGGATTGATTGTGAATAATGATCCAGAATATTGGGTCGAAGGTCAAACATCGAATACATTGAAAGGATTTAAAATTCTTGATGTTGGATGTGGAGCTGGAGTATTATCAGAACCACTTGGGCTTTACGGGGCAGAAGTTGTCGGAATCGATCCATCGAAAGATCTGATTGAAGCAGCAAATAATCATCTCTCTAAAACCAAGGAGACACACAAGCTTAATGTTTCTTACTACAGTGAAACTATTGAAGAACACGTAATGAAATATCGTGAGAAATATGATGCAATTATTGCCAGTGAAGTTGTTGAACATGTTGTTGATAAGAAAGCTTTCTTAAAATCATGTATTGAAGCATTAAAGCCTGGTGGTTCTATTTTCGTGACAACACTTAACAAAAATTGGTTTTCTTGGATTTGCGCGATCATTTTTGCTGAATTTATTCTCGGAATATTACCAAAGCATACGCACATTTATGATCAGTTCATAAGTCCAGGAGATGTCAAGGACATGCTTAAAGAGTTGAACTGTCGGACTATCAAAATTTTGGGATGGCGCAATGAGTGGTTTTGGAGCAAGTACAAGTTTCAATCAAATACAAGCATTCAATACGGATTACATGCAATAAAGCAAGCTAAAACAGACAACTTTCACTAATTCATAAAAAAAAGAAGCAATCCAAGATAAAAACAAACGGACAATCGGATATTTTGATTTGTCTCCAAAATTTGGTACAATGTTTTATGAATAAATTAAACCAAAACTGGTTTTATTAATTTTATTTCAAGGTAAAAGAAAAGTTACTGCATCAATAAATATACATCACCCATGAATGACGGTGTTTCATTGTTTTATTCTCTGTGGAGAAGAATTTGAAACGCGAAAGAATTTTATGTTACAGAGCAAACTAGAACGAATAAATTTTAATGCTGCTACTCTATGAAAATATTAGATCATCATCATCACTAGAAATATTTGATTTCATAGACTAATAAAAGACAAAACTACGATGCATAAATTAAAATTTATATGAACTAGGTAGTAATTCACGCTTGTGAGCACTACTTAGAAGAAATGTAAATGTTGAAGAATCATCAGTATATATGCAACACGAGAATATTCTAACGACCCTAATTTCCCCATAAATCACTTCATGATCACAGATGTGCAATTTTATTGATTGATTTCAGTTTTATTTACAACAATGGTTTTTCTTTTTTTTAATTAAAGTATCATTTTTGTTGGGATAAAAAGCAGTCTTTATCGAAATTAACAAATTATAAAGATTGCATAAAAGCCAAATCTTTTCACAATTTTATATTAAAAATAAAATAAATGATAACTGTCTATTGAGCTTTCAATATTTTCCTCTTTTTTTAAACTTGTAGATAGAAGACTATATAAACGCGTTGGTTGTTAATTCTTTTCTATGTTTTCTTTGATTACATTGTAAATTTTCAAACTTTTGCAATAAAATGTATTTTGATTTCTTTTTTTTATGAAGCTTTGTAAAATGAAGCTTTCCTTATTTCTCAGATTCTAATTAGTTTTAACGCGTTGCTCAAGAGTTTCTTATATATGTAGCAAGGGGTCAAACTAGATTCAATTCTTAGAATGAATCTTAGAGTATTATAATGAATTCTTTGTTTGGCAGTCATCCAATATAACATATCGAATGTGAGTTCTAGGGTCAATTTTAATTTGTGAAATAGAACTTTTTGATATTTTTTTAGAATAAAATTTTTATGAGATTCCCAATTAAGTTTGTTATCTATTATTACTCCTAGGCATTTTAATCTGCTGATTTACTCATGATTAAAATAGTAAATCAATCTCCCATGATTTGGACATCATAAACTTTTATAATCATCAATAAATTTTTACAAGCTTGATCGCTTATCTGATTTTGAACCTATCAAAACATTAAGTCATAAAAGCATAAATAAATGAACAATGTTTACGAAAATTATGTTTTAAGAAAAACTCATCTAAAGCATGACAAGAGGTTAACAACGACGATCATGACGATCATGTGCATGAAAAAAAAATAGTTGAGATTTATAAGATTCATGAATAAATTAAGACCAGCTCAAGCAGCTGATGTTCAGTTTTAGTTTCAATATCCAAAGTGGATAAATAAAGTCTTATAGTGTTTGTATTGAATCTTAATTACCTGGAGAAAGCAACCCCGATCGTGTGAAGGACTTTACTTCAAGCCAGAAGCATTATCTTTACATACATGTGATGCATAAGCNAAGTCATAAAAGCATAAATAAATGAACAATGTTTACGAAAATTATGTTTTAAGAAAAACTCATCTAAAGCATGACAAGAGGTTGACAACGACGAAGTTATTGAAATTCTTTTGATATTTCGTATTAGATAATTTTTTTCACATTTAAGTTGAACCATGAATGAAGATATTAAACTTTATTTTTATTAATTTTTAAGGGTTTCCGAACTTGATTTTATCTTATTTACTAAAATGTTTTAGGTGTAGAGTGCATAATCGGGTATATAAAATATAAATGCGGTGTGGAAGCATTGAACTCTGTTCATTATTTACTTAAATTTTTATATTAGCTTAAACTTGTGAAAAGACGAAGAAAAGCTTAAAAACTGACATTAGTTTAAACATACTCAGATTTCAAAAACAGGTTTTTCACAGCGAAGATGATCAGCCACATTATCTCAAAGATATATATTTCAGCATGCGTGAATTTTCCTCTCAGTTGAAAACTTTTCGCCAAATTTGAATGTTGTCTGATTGAGTTTTGTGTGATTTTTAGTGAAATAAATAACTGTGAGTGGTTCTCTTTTTCTTGGATGAGTTAAAAAAAATTGAAGAATTTAAATTATTTTAAATAACAAAAAAAGCATTTCTGACCGTGAATCTTGACGAACTCTTGAATTCTTTATGTGATGATAATTATGAATTTTTCTTTAAAAAATCCTTCAGTTCTTTACGTGATTTAAAATATTTTTTTGGATTTCGTGTGATTTTTAAGGAAACAACTGTGAGTGGTTCTCTTTTTTCGAATGAGTTAAAAAATGAATCTTGAAAAATTCTTGATTTTGTTCTTCATGTGAAAAGAAATGTTTTCTTATCTTTTTCTTAATATTTTCTAACTTGCTTCATAGTTGAAGAATGATGTTTCGTATTAAGCACCAGCTTTCCTAGTGCTTTATTCTAAGTTAGTAGGGTAAAGTGACATTGACTGTGTCGTCCCGGGATCGTATGATGCTCTTAAATAAAATCGAAAATACTACCAGATTGATGTTGATGACAATATTTTCAATGCGATTTTATTTCTAAAATTATTAAACACAAAACGTTATAAAACTTATAGAAAAGGCGACAAAATAACTCACGATAAGATGACGACTTCACACTTGCACTGATCCCGACGACTTGATATTAAATGATTCCTGACTATCTGTTTACTACATAAAGCTAAGAACAAACTAATGTTAACGACAAGACAATGATAATTTAAAGGAAAAATTACCACGTGGAAATAAGATTAATTTCCTTCTTATTTCCTACACTACGACGATTCTGCCAACGACAACTGAACTAAAAATATGTGAAAATTAACTAACTAATAACTGACTAAATTTAACAATCCTTACAACGACTATTTGAACGACTTTAATTAATTTTAAATCACAACAACTAAACTTGATCCTTTCATCACGAGGATCTGACAATTATGAATGTGAAACAAATCATCTGTTCTTTTGTTCACGATAAGGACTTTTTGGGATCAGCGCAAGTTACGTCACGACAAAAAATGAACTTTAATTGCGTCGCACAAAATGTAAACATTAAGTGCGGAACGCAAAACAAAAAATAAACAAATATAAATTAAGAAATTTAATTTAAATTATTTAAGCAAAGTTGTTCGCTTGTCCATGACAACAGACTGGTTACAATTAAGCTCTTAAGGTTTTAATCTTTTTTAAAAAATTAATAAAACAGTCCTCAAGTAAAATTGAGAATCGAATTTTTAACAGTAGGCTTTACCATCCTTTTCACAGTTTTTTGTTTTTAAACTTTCCGAAATAGTTGCTTAATTAAGCTACAATACGGATTTTAAAAAAGGTCTAACAAGGACATATTGTGGTAACAACTTTTGCATCAGGGACATATTGTGGTTACAAGATGGGGACATATTGTGGTTACAAGATGCAAGACTAAAAAAAATGTTCTACAAAAAACAAAAACATCAGCTGCAGCCATAAAAACAATTAAATATATTAAATTGATTTAATGTAGGAAGATTGTTGTGTTTTATTTAACATTGTTTCTAGTTAAAAATATATGAAAACGTAAACAAACCGTTTTGCGTCTTCAGTTAGCTTGTTTCCGCGAAAAATTTTGCAGGTTGTCTGTTTTGGCCTGTTGTCGCTTATTTTTTCATTCCATTTTTGGAGGTATAAATAATGCGAACGATTTTTACGGAAATGAAGGGCAGAACGTAGTTAAAATAAGAAGCATAATTGTTTCTAAAGGTTCAAAGCACCTCTGTTAAAAATTTTCAGCCATACCGATTTAAAATAGCGAAGAAAATCATACTCAAAGTGGTTTGTTACTACAATAGGTACTCATTTTCGTTGTAACCGTTTAAGGTACTTTCACCCTAATTTGAAATTTAATATAGTTTTATTAAAATAATTAAACTTTCTGTAATTGAAACAGATATGATAGTCAGGAAAGTTTATGAAGAAAAAAAAATACTAATAACAATTTGCCAATAGAATAATTACAATGACCAAAAATTACAATTAAGATAAAAAAATTACTGAAACTTACAGGAATTAATAAAAATGTTCGTCAGAATATTAAAATTTAATTAAATACAACAATTAACAAATTTAGCTTTTTCTGTGAAGTTTTCAGTTTCAATGGATTATCAGACTTCTGTAAAAAGAAACAAGATTTCAAATATCTTTTTTTGCCAAAATTGAATGACCTAGAAATGTTCAAATTGTTTTGGATTTGGACTGGATTAAATGATTTGATGTGAATAACAGAGATGGGCAAATGTTCCGTTCAACTCGATTGACTGACTGACTGACATGTCAATGTCTGTCTGTCAGTCAGTCAGTCAGTCAGTCAAAATCGCGAACAAAAATATTCGTTTGTTGGGAAACGTTCATATAAAGGTTCCGCTCAAGTCGTTTGACTGACAGACTGAAAAGTCAATGTCTGTCAGTCAGTCAGTCAAATCCCAACTCTGGTGAATAAAGCGGCTGTAGAAATTTGTTGTAGAAATTTTTATTTCATAGAGAACTTTCTAAACATTTGTAAAATTGAAATCAATTTTCAAGATTTCATTTTTTAAATCAAACATGCGAAATAAAGTTCCTTAGATCTTGGCAAAGATAATACAATAACAAAAATGCTTATGATCTTTGTGAGTCTCTTGAATCCAGAATTTTGCTGGTGCATGAACCTGATTAGATAAGGAATCATTTAATCCTAAGTTTACTCTTACATATATTTAATAGGTAAAAAGTGATATAATGATAATTTATTTATTGCTGATGATGTACAAAATCTCCAAAACGTTCAGATGTTGCATGTTGTTGCCTGCTCGAGAATTTTAACATTTTTAAAATTATAAACATAACTCATCTCCGCAGCATGTTCAATTAATGAGGACTTATTGATTAATTACTTTAAATTAGTTTCGTTTATGATTTCCGCATTAGCAAATCTATTCAAATTTCTGCAACCACCTTCATGCACAGAGATTCTTTGTTTCAATCGACGAGAGGTTTGACCAACATAACAGCTTCCACACTGGCAATCAATATTGTATATCAAATTCTTCCTTTTGCCATCTAGAATCTTATCTTTCACTTTCGAGACGAATTGTTTAATTTTATTGTGAGGTTCGAAGCTGAAACTTATGCTTGGAATTTTCTTCTTAATAATCTTTTTAAATTCTTACTGCCACACAGAATCACTTGACAAAATATTTTACCGAAATTGTGACATTCACTTGTTGTATCGCTTGCAAATTGTTGTTGCTTAAGATGCGATTTGTCAATTTTTTTGGAAACTTGTTTTCTCACATACATAATTGCTAAAATTTTGAAACTCCATGCCATTTGTTGTTACCTAAATATCTCATCTTTTTTTCATCAAATTCTATGCTAAATTTATTTTATTCTTAATGAATGATCAGAATAAAAAATTACAAATCTTCCAATCACAACTGACTTCATATAAAAATATGTTGAGAGACTTGTTAATGCGGACATCATTTACGAAACTGATTTATTGAATAAATCAGTAAAACCAGAATTTAATCATCTGTTTGACTTTAAAATTGTTAAAATTCTTGATGGAAGAAGCAACATGTCTCACCTGAATGTTTAAGAGATGTTGCAACAAAACTGGCAACAGAAGGAATGACACAATAAAGTTTATTCACATGTACAACGGAATTTTGCAGCTGAGAGAATATAGGAGAAGAAAAGAAAGAAATGAGGATTCGCGAATGTGCATTTTCGATCGGAAAAACATTGCATTAATCAAAAGATTTTAGATGTGATAGCCCATGTGTCTGAATATTTTTAAATAACTAAATAATATGAACTTGACCAAGAAATTTAACATGCAGATTTGTTTGTTGCCTTCAATATGTTAGCTTAACAAGCTTTGGCTGATGAAAACGAAACTGGTCGGATGATTAAAATAAAAATTCGTTTTTTAATGCCTTAGTGGCATAATCTACATATATCTATTATGAATAATGTATGAATCAGTTTAAATAATAAAATTAGCATTTCTGAATGTGATTAAAGTTAACTTGCTTCACAGTCGGAGAACGTTTTGTATTAAGCACCGGCCTTCATAGAGCTTTATTCGATATATTAATTTGAGATTTGTTTTAAATTTAATTGAATTTTTTTAAGATAATAATTGATTCAGGATTGTAATTGAAAAAAAGTATGGTAATCGGGATATTTTTTGAATCAACTGATATTTAAGTCGTGTAGAGTGAACTTTTTTTATAAGAATTTTGAAGGGAGTCACCTATAAAGAGCTTCTTCCTATAAAGAACTTTTTTGAACATTACTTCTTAATATTACTTCTTAATTGTGCGACATGGTACGACATGTTTCGGGGTTGTTATTACACAACTTTCTTTTATTATTATGAAACTAGTAATTTCTTGTCCGGCACTCCTTCTTGTACCCATAGAATTCCGGGGTTTAAAGAATTCATTTTGTGCTTCGTCACTTCTCTTATGTCTCTCATTCTCTTCTTGATCCTTCGAAATTTCGTCTTGATTCATTAAATTGAGTGTCGCTATTTTCTCTTCAAGTTGTTTGTCTGTACTTTTTTCTTCGTTCAGCAATGCTTGAAGTTCGTCGAAATCAACTTGAAGGTCTTTCAGTTGATCATTTAATTCTTGAATCTTCTTATTAAGTTCAATATTTGATGATGTTCATGAAGCTGAAGATTCAAGTGGTAGTGAAGACACGACTGCTTGAACTTTAGGTTCGATTTCTTTCTCTTCACCACTCCATTCTGCCAATTTTTGAAGCTTTTGAGTCAAATCATGAACCTTCAACTGATACAATTCCATTTGCTCATCTTGTCGCTCTTTCATTTCCGTCATTCGTTCATTGGGAAGTGTCAAGACATCAATTCGCTTTATTAAAGCTTCTTTTTCTTGATGTTCCTTCTCCTTATCACTATTTTTTAATTCCTAAAGTTTCGCTTCAAGTCGCTGAATCTGTGAAATTAATTCTTAATGAATCACCAAGTCCGTGTCATTCGATTCAACCGATGATGACTTTCTAAAAGCTTTGGTCTTTAATTCGCTGGTCTTTGATATTCTTTCAACTTATTCATCATTTTCTTTGAATTTTTTTTCGCAGTTGTGAGTTTTGCATCAACATCTGATTTGTCATAAGTCAAACGTTCAACAATATCTTCCTGTTCTTTGAGACGAACTTCCAAGTCTGATCGTGGTGACAGAAGACTTGCTGATGGCTCTTGTAACTGTTGAAGTTGATCGGCATCTGATGATCCGCAAGTTGCGTTGGGAGATCCAAGAATTTTTTGGATCACCGATCCAGTTAAGCGATCCAAAATTTCGAAAGTGGATCTGATCCACGATCCAATATAAAAAAAAATTGCCATGCCCTTTTCTCTTAAGGGTCAGATTTGTAGAACATTTTTCTACCCCTTGTTGTTCAAAGGGGCAAAACTACGATTTTCTAATAAGTTTCCTAACCCTTTGGCGTAAATTGTAGTTTTGCCCCTTCAAACACTAAGGGGTAGAAAAATGTTTTACAAATCTGACCCTTAAGAGAAAAGGGCACGGGAAAAATAGAACGTGGATCGGGTCTTCGATCCATTTTTTTCATGGATCGCCGATCCGATCCATTTTTCCGATCCAAAATGTTTTGGATTTGGGGTTCC